TACATGCACATGGTGAAATATATGCTACAAACCAATGAAATTCCGGCAGATTAATCAATCTACAACATGCAAATATAGTTGATGGCTTCACGTGGCACAATATCCCATCAATCATTTGTTAGGAATAGTTTTTGTCAGTAATATTGGCAAATTTTCGTCAGAGTGCCTCTTTTCATAACAGCATGTTATAACAGAACTGTAGGATTTTGTTCAAAGGAATTATAGATAGTATAAAGCCAAACAAAGCTAATTCCACAAAGTAAAGCATTAATTGTGGAAGCATGGCTGTCATTTATCATAAAACAATTATTCTAGAGTTCTTAAATCTTAAATTACCTTCTAATAATTTCTATTAGGTTTGGATATCTATTTAGCCAACATGCATACACTTCAAAAGCAGAATCAGTAAATCTGACCCCCCCCCCCCCAAAAAAAAAAATAAAAAATAAATATAAGAGAAAAAAAAACCCACAAAGAACACGCCAGTTTGCGTCCCAGGGAAATAAACTGTAAGCACCAAATACACTTATGATCTTTTGTTACGGAATCAGCAGACGATATGAAACAAAACATGCATAATGTCCTCTATTAAACATCGGCGAATGCCGGATTCAAAATATCATAAATAACGAAATTGAACGGAAATAGCCGAATGCCCGTCGGTGTTTACCGGAGAAATCGGTTCAATCCGATAGTAAGCCTAGTCGCCACACTAGAATCCCAAGAATTTCAAAAACTCTGCGGTTGTCTACGACTCTTTTCTAACTGACAATGATAACAATACTTGTCGTAATAGATTTAGATATTTATGTGCAAAACTATCACAAGTGTTGCTATGAATTTTACGACATTCTGCACGTATTTCCCATGAGCATTGGTATTTATACAATAATGTCTTAACGTCTGAGGGTCAATAATTGCAGTGGACCTGCGAACAAACATGACATGTTTATGACACCAACTGTAGTCAGACTTGAGACGTTCTTTTAGATGATAAATAGATATGGCTGATTGATAAGCAGCTAATTCTAGCTAAATTATTCTTGACGTCTACTGCTTTGGGTCATCGGTTAATTTTATTTAAGATCCACCTGTGGCAAAGTGGTGGAACAATTTTGTATGGACAACCCCATTTATATATCAACTATAAAGGACCAATCAATGAGCGTGTGTCTGTTGTTTATTTTCCAGGTGGCTAGCTGTAACCATGCCAGTTTCAAGGACCTGTTATGGCACCTTGTATACAGTAGAAACTTTTTCTCGGATCTTGACAAGGCCAGGTTAGTACACAGTTTCAATTGTACACACGCTTTTATTTCACAAAAAAGTACTATAATAACTCACAAATATTGTTACATAATGTATACCAACAATTACAATCCGACCCCTTGTTTGTTTGTATTGACTGCATTTGGAAGTGTTAGCTGTTATTTATAGGGATCTAAATACGGAGCAGACGACAGCTCAGTGTATGATGTGACTGTATTCGACATGATGTCCTTCGTTAAAACTGGTGTAACACACATGTTTTATGTATCCAAACATTAATTTGTTGTCCGTCCGTCTATCCGCTTTTAATTCAAAACAGTGTCTTTCATGGTTGGATTTTGTATAATTGTGAAGCACATGGACTCATGCGTCACCTGCAAGGCCTAGCTTTGTACGCCAAAGGTCAAAGGTCACACTTTATTATAAAGGATTTTACTTTTCAAATGAGTGCATTGATATTCATGCCAGGTTACTTATGATGTCCTTTATGATAATTTACTTTTATTAAATGAGTTGCATGTTAAATACGACGTGTCGCGCGCCAGAATAAGGTCTCCACTTCAAAGGTCAAGGTCACACTTTTATGCCAAAAGCCATGATTTTGCAAATAGATCAACTGGTCGTGTTTTTTGCCTAAGTTGTATTCATGGATTTTTAAAATAATTATACTTTAATATGTTCCATATTTAAACGATGTACAAATGTTTCAAACGAAAGGCACTTGCTCCTAGCTTAAAAGTCAAGGTCACGCGCTTCAATCATAATTTTTGTTAAATGTGCATGAATCGTTGTGTCCCGTCAATGATTCTGTCATTCGTCAGTGGATTTTAAAATAATCTTTGCCATTCATTTATGAATGGTTTTTGAAATAATTGAGCATACTGAGAAGGTAAGGACTTGTTTGTTGATATTTCCAGGCTCTGCTCATTAGGACATTTGTCTGTTGCCAAAAACAAATTGTTTTCATGTCTGCAATAACTGAGTATTACAAAAGGTAAAGGTTGTGAAACAGATACATGTATGTTAGATAATCTGTGACGTCATCTTTGAAGGTGATAAAAAGATAAAAATTGCCAGTTAGTACAAACTTCGCCAAATGACATACATGTTGTGACGTTACTACACCATACGGTCAAATAAATCGACCTGAAACCTATCAATTAATTTACAATCTAATTAACGTTATTAATATGACATTCTGAATACACTTGCCGTTATATGTTGGCGCATATGTAAATTATTAGACAATTTCCGCTTTTGTTGAACACAACAAAAACTAAGCTTTACTCAGATACATGTACAAATATACATGTATATCCTTCACAAAATCACATCGAAATGGGCTCCCCTTTCTCGCTCTTTAAAAGACACTTGCGATCAATCTGCACCAAAAAAACGACCGCTGATATGGACTATCTTGTAAGTTAATACTGTAAAGAGTTTTTGTTTGTTGTGTTATCCTACAAAACGAAATAAATTTGCAAAACCTTGATCATGAAAAACACTTGTTATTTGAATTTTTGATTAAGAAGAATTATATAGGAATTTAATGCATCTTCTTTATCTATCTTATTTCACGGATTGTTACAATCATGTTTTTTCTGCAAATAAAAACATATACAGACATACTTTGGTATGCTATTTACAAATATATAAGAACGTTTTTTTTATGTACTTTATTTACATTTAGCATCTCTGTCTATTCGAAGTATATATGTTTGGTTTAGCATCTCTTTCTATTTGAAGTATTATGTTTAGCATCTCTGTCTATTTAAAGTATTATGTTTAGCATCTCTGTCTATTTAAAGTATTTATGTTTAGCCTCTCTGTCTTTTCAAAGTATTTATGTTTAGCATCTCCATCTATCTGAAGTATTTATGTTTAGCATCTCCGTCTGTCTGAAGTATTTATGTTTAGCATCTCCGTCTATCTGAAGTATTTATGTTTAACGAAGTCTACAGAGGACCATTCTACTACATCGTTCTTGGAATTTAGGTTTCATTTAAAGTTTTTTGATGAAGCCACGAGAGCATCTTACATTGACCAATGCATTGAATGGATTCAATATTTTCACGTGCATTTCTAGTAACAAAAACTACTGATAGAATTGCGTCCATTGACCGTTCTATGCCTGTGCATAGTTTTGATTAACATTCTTGATTTTTCAGGCTTTTTTTATAGATTTTCTTGCAAGTGCTCTCTTCTTCGCCATTGACGTATTCACCCAAAGCTTCAAACATGTTCTCGGTCACTGTTCGAGACCATTAACTCTAGCATGAATTTCACTGAATTATTGGCGTCCGCGCCGAAGCGCGACGCCCCTTATGGAATGAAATCAGATTTTGTGAAAGGGCAATTGCAACTTCTCGCGCCATTTAGTAGGTCATAATAGCCGACAATTCCGATTGGTATGATGTTGTTTGATTATTAAAAATGAAATGTCGCGATATGTACAATAGATAGCGAACTGGAGAATTTCGCAATGTAAACATATTCAAATGAAATAATGTTTTCGGTCAATTAATCGCGCTCTTCGGTTTTTTTATACCCCTTTGTAATCTTACAAAATTTCTTTATAGTGAATTCTCTTTAGATCGCTGTTACAGAAATATCGTAACTTTGAATGCAGTGATACATAGGTCAACATATTCAGGTGTTATTTTTTTTATTCATTCTTGGGCTGATTTATTATACACTTCAAAGTCCTCCATCTATCAGCAACACAGAAGGTTTTCTTATATAATAAAACAGTAGTTAACACGTTCCCGAATGCATTTTCTTTGACGGCAAGATCATGTATTGTACATTAACTTGGATTTTATGTACTGAATCTTGAAATAACTCTTTGTGTACACAAACAAACGTATATAATGCTTTTATATTTTGGAAATTGTAACTTTTATTTATTTCTGCCGCTAGCATACTTAAAACAACATAACTAGTGATTTTTAGAGACTTTCAGGCCTTATTTCTGCCATCAAAATTGCATTTTTCGTCTTGCTGCAGAAAACTTAGAATGGCATGACGTCATCAGATTTGATCATTAAATGGCAATTTGCTGTTTGGAGTAGTTAGCGCTGATGTTACGTAATTATTTTCTGATAGTAATTCTGTAAATGAGAGGGAAAATGTCTTTTTGAGTACCCACGCTTCTGAAAATAATAGAACGCTGTGTATAGTTATCCGGAACCGTGGCAGACGACAATCATTTCTCGATTTGTTTGCCGTGAAATTTCGAGAGACGTTATCAAATCTTGAAATAAACTACTAAAGTGTAATATGTTGTATTTCTATCTGCAAGTTTATCAAACTCATGAAATTTAATCGTATTATCTGAAGTAGATATAAAAAAGTTATACCATTTTGTAATATTTAAAAATTGTTATGATTTGTCTGAAACGTTATACATATACACATGTATAAACAAGAATTATAAGTTATATAGCTTTTGATACAGTCGTGTAGAATCTCTGCAGACGGTAATGTTATATTTTAATAAGGGTTTTCAGTAGTACAGAATGAAGTGGAGTGTGCAAAAAAGGCAGTATTATAACTTTTTTCCCATAAATATCTCCACCTTCATGGTAAAATTATCAAAATTTCAAGTAATTTGATAACAACTTTTATTATTTTGCGAGAGATATTTATCACGGATTTGTAATATAAATCCGTGCATTTATGTAACACTAAATGCATAAGCTAAATACCTCTTAAAGTTTAAAATTTAAAAGTTTGAAACATATATATTTTCTCAATATTGAGGAGAAAATTTTATCGAAGGGTTCGAAAAAAATGAAGTAGGGGCAATTTCAATCCCAATAATGGCTCATTTGATAGTTTGCTCCTCTGTTAATCCCAGCTTTGCTAGGAAACGATTGATAATATCTAACTATATAATTATGTGAAATAACAAATATCGTTGCTGCAAACAGACCGTGAATGAAAAGTTATTTGTCTATCAAATATGTTGTCTTTATTGGCCCTTCAAACTGATCAAGAAACCAATTACAAGACGGACATCTCATTCGCGTTAACCACAGATGCAATTACCTTTTTTGATATTTTGGCTGCTTGCAGAGAAACTATCACAGCAAATTTCACGTAAGCTGATTAACAGGATATTTTCCCTGTTCCGTTTTGTTTATTTTGTAAAATGAGCGATCGCATATTTGCCCAAACCCTTGAAAAATGGAGGATCAAGTATTTGTTCTGGAAATGAGGCAACATAAAACTCGCGAGATCTCGTAGAATGACGTCACTTAATCTGTCATTGTCTCCGACTTTTGTTGATATATAGTAAGAAGTTTGACAGCTATATTACTTGGAAAAACTGATCAATAGGGAATAACGAGATATTTTGGCGTCATGTCTTTTATCAGTGTCTATCAAACTGTCCGAAATGTTCGTTTAGACGAATTGCCTGTCACAGAAGACAATTCGTAAACAGGGACCCGTTCAGTAGCGAGACGGGCATTTTCATTATAGCTTCACAAAATGGCATATTAGCTTTTGTAATAACAGTCTGCAACTGAACAAAATGTGAAAATGTACCATCCGGGTTGATTAAACTAATTGCTTTACAGACTTCCCGCCCTTGTTTTCTTTACTAGAATACAATAGAAAAAGTACTTTCATGTAATCTATTACCACATGATATTCGTGCAAAGCGATATGCGAGAAAATTCGTGAATATGAAAGTGATACTGTTCTATAAACAACCTTACTTCTTTTTTCGCTTATAATATTTCACGTATTTTAGAGCAATCCGGTCATAAATCTGTACGAGTTTTACTTAACCCTTACCACCAAATCGACTTGTTTATTAAAACAATTTATCATTTTAAGGGTAATTGTTTCAAATATGAAATGACTGAAAAAAGGGGACAATGCAGACAATGATCAGACGGCACTTAACTTGGTCTGTCCTAGTCACATGGGTGATTCCGTTGGTACTTCCGGGCTAAGGCTTTATGACAAGACTGGATCTGGATCTACGTTGTATCTCTTCAGCTACATGTATCTGCAAATAAACTACATCCGAAAAAAAACTTCCAGACAAAATGAATATTAAACAGATGAAACATCTCATAGAAGTTTGATCTTTTAGATAATTTATAACTTTTAAAGATAATCTTTAAATGTAGGTAAACTTTTTTTTTGTAAGATGTAGATTAACATTTAAAATATCTGTTTCACAGAAGAGAGATACCCTGTATTACAATATATTTTAATATTTTTTATGAGAACTAAAAACTTAACCTTAAAAAAACCCCGACAAAGTGGCCGTGATTTCAGCACGCCACAGCAACGAATAGGTAAAGGGGGAGCGGTGGCATAGTGGTTAAGGTATCTGACTCTTAACCAGAGATCATGGGTTCGATATAAGTTGCAAGAACTTGTTTTGCAATCGAGCTTAAATAAACTATGTTAAAACCAACGAACAGATAGAGCCTGCATGATTGAAATAATCCTAGCAAAATGATTCATATTCTGGTAATGTTTACCCCTGTAAAACGCCCTTCAGTTATTCTTGCTATCAGCTGCAGCCGAAACGGAACATAATAAACATCCCTTGTACACACATACGTACAGCATATGAGGTATTATTTTCTGATGAATCAGTGTTATCTTTATTGCACGTCAATGATTAGAAATGAAGAGGAAAACAACACTCTACCTTGGTCAGTATTTCCGAAACAACAGACGGTGCCCATTAACTGCGCACACAAAGATGTTTACTGTACAAACATACCCATAATGGCTTAGTTCTCAATTTGTGTTTATGTCAAGTGCCTGCCAAATTGCTTAATAAAGCTTTTAAATGAAAGAAAACCGTCTGGGGAATTCCTTTTAATTGACATGAAAAGAATAGTAAATCTTGAAAATGGGCAGAAATTATTGGTAGGGTTGTTGACTATTTTATAATCAGCAATTGATGAATTACAGCTACTCAAACGCTGTAAAAAACACTAAAGTGGTCCAATCGATCCCTCCCATTCCCCCCCCCTAAGAGGCACATTTTCCAGAAGAAGAAAAATGTTTTCTAGACGATTTCATACAAATCGTAGCTCCTCAAAATCATATTTTGAAAAAAAGAAGATTATTAGCTGTTTCTAGAATTACAAGGAATTCCAAGCAAGACAACTACATAACAAAGCCCCAAGCGGACTTTGAGGCTGCTGTTATTTCTCGGGCAACCATTTTAAACATCAAATTTGCACCCTCCTTATTCCTTTCAAGTTATCTCGTAAATCTTTCGTTTAAAGAAATTATCTGTTTGCCAAAGTCACAATTAGCCACATAAAGATAATTTAGTCAGACTGCTTTCATTTGTGACGAAGCTTTCCAACCAAGGAGTTGAGCTGGATAAATACGTTAGCGTACATTGTATAAGTAATTAGGAAATGCTCGCATGGACTGAGCCCCACCTTTGTCGGCCTTCTCAATGTCTTTAATTTCAATATTACAACCTTCCAGTTATATAATAATACCAATGTTTTATTTTTTCAGGGTCATATTCAAATGGATGACAACAAAAAATCTTCACGCGATACAATTTGATAAATATCCGGCGGGCTCTGCAGAGGAATTGTTCAAATCCTTACAGAACAAAGAGACTACCTACGCCAAAGTTTTCGCTGTGATTTGTGGGTAAGATTATTTTCAAGTTATTTTCCCCATTTCGAAACTTTTCTGCCCGTCACGAATCTTTGTTTCTTAAGGGTTTACAATTTGATATACCAGTAATATGTTCGTGAAAATTCGACATATTTCGTTGCTTTTGTGTCAACATACGTCTGCATGACTGAGAACTGAGAATAAAAAAAATCTAGTCAGGAAAACGCTTTTGGAACAGATATACGCATTGTGTCGAGGTTTGCCGACAAGAGTTCTCTATGGATGTTATCCCTTAAATTGAAAAAAATAAAAATATGTAAATTTAACTGGTAACTGATATCTGATTCTAAAGTTTTAAGGAAAAATAATATTATCTAGAATTTTTACTGTAAATTGTACGTGAATCTAAACAAGTAGTTTAAGCATATGACGGAGTTATTTTTTTATTGCAATGCGTCTCTTTATGTTAAACTAGATCCAAAGATAGTTTCATTAAAACCCTTTTGAAATTCCAAGAATATTTAAAATCTATTTTAACTGCATAGTTTGCTTTTAAATCGTATTTTTTAACACACGTGTCGCTATGTAACCTCCTGATCAGAATTGTATTTATGTAGGCGTTATTGCCCCACATTTCACACCCACAGATTTGTGGAGACTCGAGCACGCCGTCGCTGTGGTTTTAACCATGAACTTAAGTGGTTTAACACATTTGAAGGTGGGGTAACAATGTATTAAATATGCAAAATATTAAATGAATTGTCACAAAACACCAAGAAATGTTCGCCACATCAAATAACTGTTAACGAAGGCTTGCTAAATTTCTAGATCTGATGACTCCTAGATATCTAAACACGTATCTTTAACTTACATGTTAAACAAGTGATTATTTAATGACCCATCAATAACAGTGTGGCGGTGAATGAAGATGTTAGCTTAAATATCAGTGTAAATATTTGACACGTGGATAATATTTGGTGTTAAGTTATGTCTTACGGCGTGAAATACCAATATTATCATTGCTTATTTTGTCAGTTTATTGTCATGTTTAATACCATTTGATTTACGAAGTATCGTCTGGCGAGATATTATGCGAGATTTTACGATATCTGTAGATGTGAACGTTGGTGATTAATCCTTGTTAAACTGGTCATATAGATCGATCATGACATTAAATGTTTACATCATCCAAATTACACTTTTACCGGCCTCACGCGAGAGAGGACACAACCGTAGCCGGGTACATGTTTTAGCTTGGGTATTCGGAATATTTTTGAGGAATGAGATCACCAAAAAAAAACTGAAGGTCTTCACAATTATGACACAATTATGATCGTTTTGTTTGACAAATAGACTGAGTATTCTGGCATGCAATTTTACAGACTTATCTCCCTTTGTGAACTTAGTCACACAAACACTACAATGTCACTTTATAGCTTTATTGGTCGAGGAAGACCTCAGGTTTTCCGTTCGTGCTTTATTTTATGAACGAACGGTCGCCTGAAAAACCGTCGATGCTTGCCTAAGCTAGCTGGATAGCTTCCTCACATGAAAAAATTCAAAGTCCCTGGCAGGATTCGAACCAACAGCGGTGAGAAGCAAGAAGTCCATGACCTTATAACCATTCACCAGTGACACCTCTAAATAACGTCATATATATATAGTAACAATTAACAAACTTTTGTTTTACAGATATGCTGGGCTGTATTGTGTAGTTCTCACTGGGTATGCAAAGGGCAAGGATTTTAAACCCGGTGATTCGTTCAAAGGGGAATCGAACCATAGCTGGAACGCCGTGTACATCGATGACAACTGGCACTTGGTCGACTCAAAGTGGGCAGCCATGGCTCGGAACAACAACAACATCAGTGTGAGTTACTTCGAAATACATGAAAAATGCATTAACACCATTATATGAACAAATCATTGCATCAACTGACACATGTTCCATTATTAAAGTAGTATATTATTAGAAAGTAATTAAAAATAGTTTTAAAAGAAGATTTTTTTTTTCTGAAATAGAAAATGTAAAAAAGAATAGTTCAATTTAACAGAAGTCTTTATGTCATTTATATAACGTAATGTTTAATCTATAATATGGACGAGTGGTTAACGCGTCAGTATTATTACACGCCCGTTTAACTCACAACGAGTGAAAAATGTCCATCGGTAAAAATGTTGTGAGCAACTTCCGTTCCTCGTTGTGAGCACCCATCTTTGACGTGTGACACGATAAACAAGGTGAGTTTTTCATAATTTTTGAAGATTACAGACATTTATGTAAAAATATCGAAATGCAGTTAGCTAGCGATGTGTTTTCCGAGTATGCACATGTAAAGATATTGCCTGTTGGTGGACAATTTGATAGAAATACCGTGCGACGCAGTCACTCGGGGTAGCAGGAAAACTGGAGACAACTTCTCTTTGGACCTAATTTAACATTGAAAACTTCGACTGCGTCGCACGGTATTTCCATCAAATTGTCCACCAACAGGCAATATCTTTACATGTGCATACTCGGAAAACACATCGCTAGCTGACTGCATTTCGATATTTTTACATAAATGTCTGTAATCTTCAAAAATTATGAAATTCTCACCTTGTTTATCGTGTCACACGTCAAAGATGGGTGCTCACAACGAGGAACGGAAGTTGCTCACAACATTTTTACCGATGGACATTTTTCACTCGTTGTGAGTTAAACGGGCGTGTATAATATAAGGACTGTCATTCGAATAGGTTTAAACTCCATCTGGGGCAAGCCGTTGTTTCCTAGAACAAGAAATTTTACTCAATGTTTTCTAGGAATAGAATTCGAGAGTGTGTCTTTAAGCTAGCTTATAGCTTCCTACACCTTGAACTCAAATAAATTTCTGTATAAACTACAAGTACATTCATGACGATTTTTATCAACAATGGTGATGCTTGTTTTGTCCAAAACATATAACATACAGAGAAAAAAATGTTTATTTAATTGTTTTACTGACATACAACAACAATTATTTGGTAATTTTATATTGGTAGATGAAACACTAAAACTATTAACAAAATGTTTGTAACTTTGACTACATCAGGAGCCAGGAGTATTAATTTTACACACAATAAAGTGACAGAAACATTTGATCAAAGAATTTTGATAAAATGGTCATTGTTAATGAATGGTATGAATTATTAACCCCGTGTATTGTTACTGTAATACAGTGTTGCCGGCGGGCAATATCAAAACATATTTAAAATGGAATTAACGCTGTTACAGAAGATCCTCCGAGGATTGAAATGTATATTTTAAGTACTGGATTGCATGCAAGTCTTTGAGGTGAAATGTATCTTAGCCGCGTCACGACAAAACCAACATAATGGGTTTGCGACCAGCATGGATCCAGACCAGCCTGCGCATCCGCGCAGTCTGATCAGGATCCATGCTGTTCGCTTACAGACCATATAACAAGTAGAGAAACTAATAGCGAACAGCAATGATCCTGATCAGAGCATGCTGGTCTGGATCCATGCTGGTCGCAAACGCACTATGTTGGTTTTGTCGTGACGCGGCTCATCTATAGTCAGTGTAATTATATCAAGTAAAATATATGTTTAACGGAAGGTAACGTTTAAGCATGCTGTAAGTTAAACGGTAGAAGAAATAAAGAAATACTCCAGGACGGGTGCACACTTGGTTTCTATTACTTAACATTCCCTTTTTGTAAAGGGAGAAAAGAAATGGTTGGAAATTACGACTAGGAATAATATTAAGCGGTTTCTTAATATTTTGTTCCATATTTGAACATGTTTCGGCCTCGATACAGTAGTTGTTTTTTAATCAAACTTTGAAATTACAATATATATTTCCTTAAATTCGCACGTACGTGTAAAATTCCCAAAAAAAAAATTTTATATTTTTTTTTAAATCTAAAGTAAATTTTTTATCAAATTAAATTTTTTTAAATAAAATTTAAAAAAAATTTAAATTTTTCTTTTTATCAAACAAATTTAATTTTTTTTTCAAAAATTTTTCGAACTGACGCCCCTAGGTAAAACTTCAAACTCCCTTTTTTAAACGTTTTCGTTTTTTTTTTTTTAAAAACAAAATGCAAAATCTTAATCTTAGTACGTTATTTTATATATTCGTAAAAATGGAAAAGAATCATTCATTTAAATTTGGTTCCCGGCGGCTGCGTCCTGTAACAATTGGATTATTACTATTGTCTAGTACCAGTAGTTGATAGGGTAACAAGCGTTCAAACTTCTCCTCTGTTATACAAATACATTCTATCAAATTAAGCTAAGAGTTCTACAAAGTGGCAATATAATCTAATTATCTCTACTACATATAGAGATCTCTTCACTGTGTGCAGTTAATGTTTGTTGTCAATACAACCGCTTGACTTTAATTGTTTAACATCTGTGATTTACTCTTTTAAATGAATTTATAAAAGAATGCCATGCAAAGGACCTTTTATTTAAAAGTCAGATTGAATGTTAAATAGATAATTTAGTTCCGATAATTTCCAACCGTTTTATATAGCTTTTAAAAAGTTGGCTGTTCGTGGTAGAAAGCATCTTGGGAAAACTTGTCGTCATTTCACTTAAATGATATTCATTAATTAATCGATGTATGGATGTATGGATTAATGAATGAATGGATGAATGAATGAATGAATGAATGAATGAATGAAGGAAGGAACGAAGGAACGAAGGAATGAAAGGAGGAAGGAAGAAATTAGAGATCGATTGGGTGGAAGGTAATGTCAGACAGACGGAAAGAGTACGGGAAAGGTGGATGTATAGATAGAGGAAGAAAGAAAGAAAGAAAGATAGAAAGAATGAAAGAACGAAAGAGAATAAAGGAAGGAAGAAAGAAAGAAAGAAAGAAAGAAAGAAAGAAAGAAAGAAAGAAAGAAAGAAAGAAAAAGAAAAGAACAGAAAAGAAAGAAAGAAAGAATAAAGGAATTGGATATGAGGAAAAGGGAGACACGAAGGGAAAGAGAGGAAACTTCGAATGTATGGACGGACGAACGGTAAAATAGTTTGTACTCTAAAGCTGGAAAAAAGACGACACAGAAGTGATGAGAAATACTGATCCAGTTTATGGACATGTCAATGCCTTATTGTTTTTGAAATGTTAATTCCAGGTTTTCCGCGGAATGTTTGCCAAGAGTGAACATGAAATATAATTAACGTACCTGTTGGTACCGCTTGTAGAAATCTAGTTTTTTACCACCTGTTAATTTTTCAGTCTGTCAGTCTTGGAAACATGTTTTATAGACAGTCTTTGCTATTTCTGTTGATGTTTTTACAGCATTTCTTCTTGTTTAATAATAGGTAAAATACTTAGCTATGCGTGTATTCATTGTTGTCGAAATTCATTGTTCCAAAACGTTATGATGCCAATATAATATTTTCACTAATGTGCACTATTCGTTTGAAACTGGGTTAAATATTTTAAATACATATTACAATTTTTCGGGGCAGATATATATATATAAACTTTAAAAATATACGTACACTCATCTTTTTCACTCTTATGCCTCCCTTTTCTTACCATCAATTTATGAGTGAATGTGAATGAATGAATGAATGAATGAATGAATGAATGAATGATATGAATGAATGAACTGATTAATTTATAATCGATTTGATTAAAACCATTGTTTTCGGATGTAATAAAAACGAAAATCCCATCATAAAAACATCACCAATAACAACAACATAAAAAAAAACAATTACAAAATAACACCACACAAAGAATAACATCCTCACTTGATTTAAATTGAAAAAAAAAACATAAAGAGAGAAAATTAGAACGCCTAATTTCAAATCGTTATTTGATATAACGATGAAAAGATGCCGATTTACCAGTTGTTCCATGATGAAATCTTTCTCTTAAATTTGACAGATAGACGTGTGTAAAATTGCAATAAATCGAAATCTAAAAAGCATAAATATTAAGTGCACAGAAGTGGATTTCAAATAATATTACAGGGAATATTTCAAGTTGTAAACGTAAAGGTGTGATACCTATCTTAAAGCTTTTTGTTTATTTATAGCTTTGATTTCAGTTCTAAAAACTATTTTCAAGCCGCATGTGTTAGCATTAAATAGTAAGAAAAAAACCCAGACCACCGCCTTCAGTAAAAACAACATTGTTACATAAGTACAAACGTCGTGGGTATTTCAGAGTGGGTGGGGAGCAAATGATATATAGAAATATATTCACTTTCACTTTGAAATAAGTGTTGTTGTTTCGTGTTTTGATGCATTTGAAAGAATCTTACATTATGTATTTAAAGTTCTTTGTTTATTTACCTACAGGTGAATGTTGAGGACGATTTTTACTTTTTGACCGACCCCGAGCATTTTATCTACAGTCACTGGCCTCACCAAACAGAATGGCAGTTTCTCCCCAGGAAAATCTCACTGAGCGAGTTCGAAGAGCTTCCTTTTGTGAAACCTCATTATTTCAAAACCAGTATTACCCTAGGCTGGACGGAAAAACCCGTGATCCATTCCCATCATGGCGTCGTCACGTGGACACTGAAAAATGCAAAACCTTTGAAATTTGGATATAAAATATTTCTAGCTAATGAAGATAATATCAAATATAAAGGTCCTGAGTTGAAAACATGTATGTATCAAGAGAGTAAGGTCGATGAAACGAAGTTTGTATTCAGAGCTCCAAAATCCGGGACATTTATATGTAAGTTTTACGCTAAAAGCCTGGAACCGGAAGACGCAAACAAGCACCTGACGGAAATAGTCGAATACCGGATGGAGGTAAAGGAACCAGCCCCGGATGCAGCTCCCTTACCACAATGCTCCCACACAATCTGGGGACCAGGCGTTAAATCTAGAAAGGTATTTTACACGTTTTAAAGTTACTTTAACAGTTATGAGTCACGCAGCTTCACTTGAAAAAAAGTATGCATAGTTTTTAATATTTTAGGTATAAAGCCTTTAAAAGGAAATATTCGCCATTGCAACAAATTAAAAAAGAAACTTCGCTATTAACTTGGTACAAAAATTTTGGCAAGAAATATGAGCAATCAACTAACATTATTTAATGTAAAAAGTAATTGGAATGACTTACATTTTATTGTAGAAATTGCGTTTTTGAAGTTTTCAGGCAACGAAAACTCTCATTATTACAGACGATAACATCGCAATAGTTGCCATTAATTATGTACAAATCTTTTCTCAGCAAAAAACTTGATATTAATCGTTTTTACAGATTTTCACGAACGTATTTTAATGTTTGGAAACAAAATGCGACTTACACGTGCGTAGTAATGATTTTCTGTCCGCCGCCAAATGAACAGGTGTTTTTCTTGTCGCTGATTTTTTTTAAGAATGATGATTGCATATATTTTGATAAAGTTCTGAAAGTCATTGAAGTACATGTAATTTAAGATGTCGGTGATATAAAGTTGCCAAAATAGGAAAGACGTGTAAAGAGGTGTGCAATTTTAATGTCTCTATTTTTATAATTAGAAAATGTCAAAGTGGATAAAGCAACATTAGATTTATAAGTTATTTAAAACTTTCAACACTACATTAACATGCGCGAAGTCAAATTTATTGTGAAAGACGCTTGACAAAATCGGGGTATCCTTACGCTTTAAATGACCGAATAAGCGTCGACATGACCAAAGGTTACACATATACTTGTGACGTCATCGTTACAGTGAAACAGACGAATATTTAACTATACATAATGTGCGAGTCCGGTATACAAATACTTGTTTTTTTTAAATTTTGGCAACATCGGGTTTTAAGTCTCATTTTTATTTCCCCAAAGCTTCTTATTTTTGGTGTCATATTACAGTTTCCAAAGAATTAGAACAGTTTTAGAGATTTACATTTTGCTACTTTTATGACAAATAATTTCGAATTCAGTGCTGATAAGCACCAAGCATATGATAAAACCATTATTTAAATGTTATAAAACTCCTGTTTGAAGGAATTATTTATTCGTATAACAAAGTCAAGGGCAATCGAACTTTCAACATTCTCGTAACAGTTACCTCCCCTAATTCTGAACTAAAAATGATGTAGATAATCGATTGTCTTCGGTTCAATGATGTTTTCGGTAATACATTTCCTTCATTTCATTTTACTGATTTTTACGCGGTATGAAGAAAGAAAATTTCTGACGATTTTATGCTATGACTAGATATGTGGCCAAACATTTGTGAATTACCCGACTCGGAAGTGAAAGACTACCGCTTTTCCCTCTATTAAATTGAAAATGGAATAGTATTTTTTGGCAAAAAAAAAATAGAAATAAAAATACATTTAAATAAACATTGAAAAATAAATAAATAAATAAACAAAAAATGCTTATTTGTTTTTACAAAGTGAAATGACTGGACATAACACTCAATAATTATTTTTTTCTTTCACAGTTGGGATTAGAAGCTGATTTTAAGTCCGGCGTCATAACATCACTAGAGCCTACGGTTGACCTCAAGTTCCAGAAGACCCGCCCATTGCACGTGATATGTAAATTGAGGAGGAGAGATGTTGATGATGTCATATTAAATAGATGTATCAAAGTAACCAATCTAGATAAAGTATGTTTCTCAGTTTTAATTCCAGTATCGATACCTAAGTCTAAATGTAGATAAGTCAGTCTAGATGTAGATAAATCATTTAAATGTAGTTAAGTCAGTGTCCAAATTTTGATAAATCGGTCTAAATGTAGATAAGTCAGTCTAAATTTTGCTAAATTTGTTTAAATGTAGATAAAACAGTCTAAATGCAGATACCTCAGTCTAAATGCAGATACCTCAGTCTAAATGCAGATACGCCAGTCCAAATACAGATAAGTCAGTCTAAATGCAGATACGTCAGTCTAAATGCAGATACGTCAGTCTGAATGCAGATACGCCAGTCTGAATGCAGATCCAGTCTTAATGCAGATTAGTCAGTTTTAATTTAGATAGTTCTATGTCCAAATGTTGATAAATCGGACTAAATGTAGATAAGTCAGTCTAAATGTAGCTAAATTAGTTTAAATAAAGATAAGTCGGTAGCCTGGGTTCCAGTTTTGTTTCATGATTCTGTTTTGCAAATCAAAATACTACTAAAATTGAAAAATACGGTGCGCTTATTTATGAAAGAAAAAAATGTAATAAAAAAGGCCAAAAAATATAATCTTTTTGAACCCCAAAGGCTAACGTGGGTTGTAATGTAGAAAATAATTTTAAATCAGAAAAGCCCTCTAAATGTTAAAAAGACAGCCCAAAATAGGGTCTTTCAACTTTTTTTTTAGACAGACTTGTCTAAATATGGAAAATTTTTCCCCTTTAATTTTTACAAAATTTCAATAAATTTTCCCCAAAATGGTAGTGTTTGGTGTACAATTTTTTTAATTTAAAGCATCTTTTGGTTTTTCACGGTTTTTATCACGTTTTTTTCCATTTTCCCTTTTCTTTTTTTTTAAAAAATGAAAACTTTTGGGTTTAACGGCACGGCTAGTGATAGCTCCCGTGAAATTTTTAGATGGGAACATGTATTATTGTTATCATGATACAAAAACTGAATTTAATTTCATTTTCAGATCAAAGTCAGTTTAAATCTACCTGAGCCCGGGGAATATGGTGTAGATATTATGGTAAATCAGCCAAAAAAGAAACGTTCATTTTGTCACGCGTGCCAGTATCTCGTTCTTTATCTCGCGGACGACGAGAAGTCGCCGTTTGTGAACGAGATTACAAGAGGACAAGGCGCAGACGACATGGACAGTGAAGTGTTCGAACAGGAGGAGAAAGAGGTAAAATTGGATGTTTTAATTAATATTGTACCATAAAATGTCTTTTATTTTCGTTTCATTTCCTTAATCATTGGTTTTTAACATAAATTATTTATCAATTATTTTTTATATCACATAACTACATTCAATTAACTTTAAGCTTATGTTAGTCTGTTTTCATTCAGAGCCTACGATATATTGTCATAACTTCCACTTTTTCTTTTAAATTCTCTATGTTTAATGATCTTTTATATAGAAAGACTTTTTGAGCCGTGCCATGACAAAAACAACAAAATGGGTTTGCGACCAGCATGGATCCAGACCAGCCTGAGCATCCGCGCAGTCTGATAAGGATCCATACTGTTCGCTTACCAATCCTATTACAAGTAGAGAAACTGATAGCGAACAGCATGGATCCTGATCAGACTGCGTGGATGCGCAGGCTGGTCTGGATCCATGCTGGTCGCAAACCCATTATGTTGGTTTTGTCGTGACACGGCTCATTTTTGTAATGAACATGTAAAACTGTGAGGTAATTGTAAATTGTAAGTATATTTATACTAAGTACTTTTAGATTAAACTTATTAGTGTAAGCACAGAAAGTGGCGGGGACACAAAAATAAAAAATCTCGTTTAAGATAATACTGTGTGGCTATGAATACCCAAAAAGATCAGATGTGATAGTAGAGTAAATAGAGAACATCTATTTCACTGGATTACATCACATTATTGCGTCACATATAAAAGAAATAGAGATCAAATAAATGGTTAATTTTCATATAAACCTATAGCTATATGCCCTGCATTGTATATCAGTCATTTTAAATCTTCTTCCCGTTGATCAAATTTGACGCATTTATCACAGAAGCTAACGTACAACAATCGGACTGGTTTCATTTCAACACTATTTGTTTTATTGATTGAGTTGTCTGGTCACTTTATTTTGTCTGGTCACAAATACGTTCCCATATCTATAATTCATTACATTCCTGTTACTGAAGCAGACCGAATAAAATGAACCCGACCAATAAAATGGACCCAACCAATAAAATAAATGCAACGCCAAGCTACTGCGTGATTGCATACGCAATCCGAATCAATTGACATTGATTGTTTGCATTTAATAAATATTGTGGAAATATATAATGTTGTTGAATACATTTTTAATGCACTCGTCGCTGATGGATTGAAAAATAACTTCACAAGTTTTACATTTTCACTCTTACTCTAGCAGAAAACCATGTCATGGAATATACCCACGATTGAAGCAATAGAAATTCAAGATCGCAAGGAGCCGCCAAAACCTCCGGAAAGTTTCGAGGTACTTCCGAATGTAACCGAAGCACCAAAACCAGCCCCCGTTAGTATGGCAGGCGTGGTTTCGTTTTATGACTTCACAGACAGACGGGCGATCGAATCTTTAGACTCGCACGCGGAAGAGGTGAAGTTTTATTTATCGTGTTTTATTTTTGTTAGAATAAAAAAATATTATTTAAAAAAATATATAAATTTGTGTTCAACGTCACTAGACTTAAATAATCGGTGGAATTTTTTATTTGAACAATTTTATTTCCAGCAAAGGAGGTGACACATTTGGAAAGTCATCGCTAAATGATTTAAAGATATATTAGATAAATATATTATTAGAGAACGTAATTTTCTGGGGTTTTTTTTATATAATATATGTAAGTTTAACAACTCTCTCCAGATATAACCATAAATATAAAGGATTGTACAGTGTGTTTTTTCTGTAGCTATTATTGTTGTTGTTGTTGTTGTTCTTCTTCTTTTTTCATTATCATTATTATTATAATTATAATTATTATTATTATTATTATTATTATTGTCGTTGTTATTATCATTTGTATTATTATCATTATAAAGAGGAACACGTGAATACATCTTTTGATAATGGCTTTGAACTTTTGATTGTAAATTTTTATTTTCCACTAGGTGGCGCAGTGTAACCATGACAGTTTAAGAGACCTAATGTGGGATCTGATTTTCTCTGTCCATGTCACCAATGACTTAGCAAAAGCAAGGTTTGTATGCATGATCTTAATAGATTATACAATTACTATAGTTGTTTTTTTATAGGTCGTAACCTTTTTTAAATTTTTCTATAGGCCCTGAGTCAAAAATGCCATTTCACGGTGGGGCCGTGGGGGCCGGGGACGTACGCGTTGTCGATCAATCTTATATTGATTCTTTCATCATATGTCCGCACTAATAGAATGTACATATCTTATTGTAACGTAATAACATTACGTCGACAACGTAACTTAATTTTACCTCATATATAGCTGATCTTCCTTTATTGCTTTGTACATTTTATGGTGTAAAAGAAAACACAGGATTAATATGTGATTTACAAAATAAACAGCAAACTTCTTGATAAAGAGGGGTTTAACCCCTCGACATATTGAAGGTTGATAAACTACGTGAAATAGTTATTTATTATTTGTTTCGAGAGTGATATCTTATAGCCTTATTACGTTAATAAGAGCAAAATTAATGTACTAACTTTCTTTAATTAACATGTTTGTGATATCAGTTTTACCAAACTTTACGGTGACATAGATCAGATATGCATGTAGTAAACAAATGAGGTCATTTTACCAAAAAGAAGGATGGAACTCTATTTACTAATCCTCACCATTATATCAAGTCAGTTTTGAAAAGTTGTTTAAGATAAAAAATCAATATAGTGCCCAAATTCACATAATATATTGCAAAATTAATTTATTTTTACATGTAATCATGTAAGATTTTAAAAGACATATTCTATCTTTAATGTTTGTGTTAAACAACATTTTAGGTTGATATTCCGGTGGATAACAAAGAAAGAAGTTGCAGATATTGAGTTTAAAAACGTTGAAAAAGACAGCCCCGAGGAAGTGCTGATGTGGCTGAAATTAGGGAGATCCACTCCTGCTCATGTCTTCTACACCATGTGCTGGTAAGAATCTTTATCTATGGAACGCCGCTATTGCCATAACAGTATCGATTTTGTAATGTATAGCAATTTCCGTTATCAGATAAAAAAAAAATATACAATTTTGAAGCTCAATTAGATTAAAGAATAAAAGACGTAATAATAGCAGCTTTACATACCACTCTTTTCTAGATTCTTTTCATAAAAAAAAATATTTAACCTGAAAGTATGTTTTTTTTTTTTGTTCTTCAGTTTTGCCGGTCTCCATTGCAAGCTGATTTCCGGTTTAGCTAAGGGAGCTAACTACAAAATAGGCCAACCCATGACGCCTGAGGAATACCAACATTGGTGGAATGCTGTGTATATTTACGGGAAGTGGTGTCTTGTTGACAGTTACCTAGCAACCATTCCAATTATCAACAAGACTGGTACAGGGGAACTGAAATATAGTTTTAATGAAAATTACTTCCTAGTTGACCCAAATAAACTCATTTATACCCATTTTCCGGAAGAGCCGGCATGGCAATTGATAAATAATACCGTCACCCTAGACGAGTTCATTTTACAACCAAAAATAACGCCGCATTTCCTACAGTTCGGGTTACAGACTCTGTCTCACAAGGCCGGGGTAATATACACGACGGACGAAATAGAAATACATTTAGGATTCCCCTCAAAACGTACGGGGTTAAAATTTGTGTTCAGTATGATATACGAAACCGGTGCGGATGAGTTCAATGGTATAAAATTAAACCAGTTCGGAATGGTAGAGTGTTTACCAAATATGGCAGTAATTCGGGTAAGTCTTCCGAAGAAGGGGACATACTCTCTGCATATATTTGGTAAGGAAGACACGCCCACCGGAAAAGATATATCTTTTTCTCAAGTTTGTGAATACCAGCTTCATCAAGAAAAAGAGCCACAAAAGGTCGTTTGTCCCTATCCACCATGTTCGTCCTTGATGTGGGGACCAGGTCCCGGATTTTATCAGCTGGGGCTAACACCGGGAAACAGTCGTGCCATCGTTCATTCAAAAGGTGGAAAAGCGGAAGTGAGAATTAAGATGATTAAAGCAATACAGCTGCGTTCCCAGATCAAACTGAGCGCAGTTTCAGTGTCTCAAGATTTACCGCTTGTTGTGTACAAAATAGTGGACAACATGGCATCGTTTACGGTTATCACTACAGAGAAAGGCCGCTATGGGCTAGAAATATACGCACGTGATCCAGATACACAGGACACTGAAGATATGAGATTCCGCCAGGTGGCGCAGTATTTAGTCGAGTGCAATGACGTCACGCCTAATATAAATCTTCCGAAGTTGCCACCCGGGTTTTTAGGACCTCAGCCGAAGTTTACAGAGTTTGGTCTCCGTACACTTAACGAGCACGACCCCCTAGTAGAACTCCGAGATGACAACCATATTGAAATCCAGCTAGCAACTACGCGTGATATGAAATTTAATGCTCAGCTAATTCAGGCCAACACGGGCCAAGACGTGTCTGACTTTATTTTTATCCAAACCCAACCCTCCATTGTCACATTCCTTGTGAACATTCCCTCTTCCGGTTTCTATAAACTTCAGATCCACGGAAACGTCGCCGAAGACCAGTCCCACACCTCTCTTGGTCTCTTTAATTATCTGATATATTGTAAGGAAGTCAAAGAAACCGTTTACCCATATCCACGTCAGCTTGGCCACTGGAAAGAAGGCTGCTACATGTTTGAACCGTTGATTCTTCACGCGGAAATGGGTCAACCGGAAGTGAAGTTCCGCACACATGTTCCAAAGGCTAAGCAAGTGGTTATTTTTGTAGAGCAAAATGTATGTCCCTTAGAATCGCTTGGTCCAGTGCAATGGGAAGGCAATATTAACCTGTCCAAGTATTACGGCACTGATACCAAGGTTATACTGGCAGCAAATTATGGTGGCGACGAGGAAAGATTCGCTACCCTTCTAGAATATAGATTATAGACCTCTATAAATAGAAAGCAGACGATAAATAAACCACGTTTGCTTGTTACAAGCTCAGATAACCATTTCTGTTGAAAACATAATAATGAACGCGTACGAGCTCACAAAACGTGTATCTGATTGTCGGATAAAAATGACATCTCTTGACATTTTCAATACTAGTATGCAATTTAGGAAGAAAACTTGATTTTATGGCAAATTAGTTTCCTTTATAGGACAAATATGATTACGTGTTATTAACTAATTATAATTAATATTCATTTTTACTTTTATATTATATTGATGATAGTAAGAAAACTTAGAAATTGTCCGAAGTATTGTATCGGCTGCATATTAAGAAAATTGCTGACAGTGCAATACTTGAACACTAGATTTTGATAACTTTGTAATATGTATAATCAAGAAAATGCTCGTAACCCAGATACTCGTCATTAATCACAATGCTTCTAAAAATAAAAAAAAACTTGGCCTATTTGTTTTCGAATTTTAAACAGACTTTATTGATATATAATTATATAGTCGTTATTTTTTCCCAAAAGAAACCCTTGCTTAACCTATATACACGTAACATTTTTTACCCAAACCTAAAACTTCTACATTTCAGAATTTTAATTGATATACATGTAATTTGATATAAATTAAAATTTGTGTGTACACTGTTCATGTACATGTATAGAGAAGAATAATGTGAACGTATTTCCAATAATATCGATATATTCAAATTAAAAATTCAAATATTTGAAAAGATATAAAATTGTCCAATTCAATTTTGAAATATTCGAATATGAAACCATAATATTTGAATAAGTTATCGAACTACTCGAATATTCGAATTACGTCTTGCATGCATGAACGCCATGATTTTATCTTTGGCATAGTTCTTATTCAGTTCCAGAACAGGACTCACTTTTTCCTCATATTCGATTTCTTATTTGGTCAATTACTGGTCATATATATAGCAAAGGTTATTCTTTATTTTGTTCTTATTTGTTTGAATTCATGACTGTTATAATTTAGGATCTTGTTTCAAGTACTAGTAAATTTGAAAATTGACATGATGATATAATTGAGCCGCGTCATGACAAAACCAACATAGTGCGTTTGCGACCAGCTTGAATCCAGACCAGTCTGCGCATCCGCGCAGTCTGATCAGGATCCATACTGTTCGCTATCAGTTTCTCTACTTGTAATAGAGTTGGTAAGCGAACAGCATGGATCCTGATCAGACTGCCCGGATGCGAAGCTGCTTTGGATCCATGCTGGTCGCAAACCCATTATGTTGGTTTTGGCATGACGCGGCTCAATTATAATACCTCAGTTAACAGCAGACGGCATTATCGAACTTATATTGATGAATTCATTGTCAGCCTTTTTCTGAGGTTATACAAAGACCCTGAAGATATTTTATCAAATTTGATGAAGGGAAAATGTGACTTCCGACTTTTCTTTTTTTATAATACATTTTATATGTATTGTAGAATATACCTGGAGAAAGTTTGCATTATAAGCCTTTCAAAGTTCCGATTTAAAATGTGTTCAGAAATATTCTTTTTTTGATAAATGTACAAAAATGTATATATGCAGTACATTCACTTACAAGTGTACATGACTAAGTGTACATGTACATGACTAAATGATCACTGATCACTTTGCACTAGCTGTACGTTTACGAGCAGTGCTTTTTTTGGTCAAGTTTAAAGATTATTTTTTGAAAGAATACAAGTTTTTACAAGTAAATGATGCCATATAATTTTGTCTAGCATTTTAAGAAATCTTCCCATGTATTTCATCTGTTGTTAATATTACTTGTATAATGTTAATGCATTTAAATTTTGAATAAATTTTTTTAAAATAAAAGTATAATTGTTTGTTGGTTTGTTGTCAATACTCCCGTTTTAAAATTGTGGGTACCAAACCACTTTGCACCATGCCATAACTTCTTTGCTTTCCTCATGCTTTACATTGTCAAAGAAAGGGAGTTTTACATGGCGAACAGACTTCTTAAACTTTGCATGATTTAAGAGAAACACGTTTGAAGTTCTGGAAAAAAAACAAAACAAAAAACTTGGCGGTCACCAATTGCTCTTGAAAATGATCGAAAACAAGTATAAATGAAACAACAGCCTGAAACATCAACAACAGTTTATTTGCATAAATGTGACAGCAAATTAGAGATGGCTTGTAATCATGAAATGGTTAACATGAAATAATGTAAACAGTGGTACAAGTACACCGCGGCTGGTATAACACATGTCCTATGAGCGTAATGTCTGGGTGAATGGCGTCAAACTGTTCGGCATTTCGCCTTGCCAGCACGACATTACCAACATGAGGAAAACAAACGCAAAATTTATGTCTCCTTTTGTGTCTTGGTCTTTTTCTACATTTCTCTTTTACGGTCTCTGAAACACGCTCAAACGATCTGGGCAAAAAAAGTCAGTCACATTGAAAGTTCATCCTTGACTTAATCATATTGACTTTTTTTACAGTTTCAAATCAATAAAATTGAGAAAGTATACCAGTCACATATGATCAGTTGTTTTGGCCATATCGGGAGGAATGTTGAAGCCTCCAGAATAAATTTTGAGAAAAATGAACTAATTTTTTAGTAAAGTAGAAATATTCACCATTAAAGTAATAATTTACATGTTATATGCAATGAATGACTGATTTTTGCAGTACTTATCACCATATTTTTACCTAGTGACTAACGCGTATTGTTACCTTTACTAGTTAATTAACATGGTTTGTAATAGTTGTTCACTTGACAATATTTCATTTTTTAAATACTTTTTAAATTTTTTATGAAAATTAGCAGGAGTCTGGGTGCGTGATGCTTAAAATTATTTTAGTTTATCGCTTATACTTCGATTCTAAAATGAAATTTGCCGGCAGCGATCTCATTTCTTGTATTTCGAATTGCAATAAAATTGCCCATTTCTTGTACAGACGTGGCATTAGATCTTGTTTTTAGAATTCCGATAAAATTGCCCATTTCTATAAAAATGATATAATTCAGATTAAAATGGTTTTCACGTATTGACACGTGACGTTTAAGATTTGAGCCGCGCCATGACAAAACCAACATAATGGGTTTGCGACCAGCATGGATCCAGACCAGCCTGCGCATCCGCGCAGTCTGATCAGGATCCATGCTGTTCGCTTACAGATCCTATAACAAGTAAAGAAACTGATAGCGAACAGCATGGATCCTGATCAGACTGCGCGGATGCGCAGGCTGGTCTGGATCCATGCTGGTCGCAAACCCATTATGTTGGTTTTGTCGTGACGCGGCTCATTTAAAGATGGTGACAGTGTTAAGTCTATCTTATCTCAGACCACATCAATCAGGCACTGACATTGAAAAATACTATAAAGACACATTAAGCAAGATGAATTATTTAAATGTGCACAGTTATCTTTCCTAATCAAATCGGATAATATGGATGGCATTTTAATGTGAATCTGGAAATATTTAAGCGGAGAAACGTAACAATTAAAACTCAACGCAATCATGTAATGTGAATCATGCAGAATACTTGCAATTAAAGTTTACATAAAATGAGTATAACTTGAGACGTGTTCACAAAAAGCGAGTATAACTCAATGGGAAATGTTCACACGAAATAAGCATAACTTAGAAATGTTCACACAATGAATAAAACTCAAAAGAAAATGTTCACATAAATTTAACTTTTTAGCTGTGTTTTACAGAATGGCGACTTTTCAGATTTACTGGTGGAGGAAGGCCTCAGGTGCACCCAAGCCATTCGGCTGGATTGCGCCCTCACATGAAGGCATGAAGGAATTCAAATTTCTTGGCGGGATTCGAACCCATCGCACACAATTAGTATGACTCGATAAGAAATTTTAAAACACACTGAGTATAACTAAGTAACAATCTATCACACAAATGTGTATAACTGTCAGTGGAAAACGTTCACAAAGAACTATTATAATTCAGTGGGGAAAGTTCACATTAAATGGGTATAACTCATTGGAAAAGTTCAAATACAAAACGAGTATAACTCAGTGGAAAATATTTACGCAAAATAACTATACTTCATCGGGAAATATTCACGCAAAATGAGTATAACTTACTAAGAAGATTTCACATACAATAAGTTTAACTCATTGGGAGATATTTACGCAATATGAGTATATCTCCGTGGGAAATATTCACGCAAAATGAGTTTAACTTAGTGGGAGATATTCACACAAAATGAGTATAACTCAGTGAAAAAGTTCACACAAAACGAGTATAACACAGTGGAAAAGTTCAAATACAAAACGAGTATAACTCAGTGGAAAATATTTACGCAAAATAACTATACTTCATCGGGAAATATTCACGCAAAATGAGTATTACTTACTAAGAAGATTTCACATACAATAAGTTTAACTCATTGGGAGATATTTACGCAATATGAGTATATCTCCGTGAGAAATATTCACGCAAAATGAGTTTAACTTAGTGGGAGATATTCACACAAAACGAGTATAACTCAGTGGAAAAAATCAAATACAAAACGAGTCAGTGGGAAATATTAACGCAAAATGAGTATACTTTAGTGGAAAATATTCACGCAAAATGAGTTTAACTTACTAAGAAGCTTTCACATACAATTAGTTTAACTCATCAGGGGATTTTTAACGCAAAATGAGTATATCTCAGTGCGAAATACGCAAAATGAGTATAACTCGGTGAGAAGCGTTCACATTCAATGTGTTTAAATCAGTTGGAGATATTCACGCAAAATAAGTATCACTCAATGGAAAATGTTCACACAAAAGGAGTATAAATCAGTGGGAGATATTTAAGCAAAATCAGTATAACGCAATTAGAAGTATATATTCACACAAAATTTGACACTTATCCCGTTCCTCTGGTGTTGTTTGGTGCAACATTAACTATGCTATTTCTCAGTACTTAAAAAGCTCAGTCATTTATATCCGCCTGTTCAGTTCAAAGTAGAAGCTACAAAATATAATCAGAAATAAAGTATATTTTCGTTTTCTAAATTTCGTATTAATATCCGAATAAATGACGCAAAACTCTGTATAATAATTCAGATATTGACCAAAATGACACAAAGTACTGCATAATCATTCAGATATTGACAAAAAGGACGCAAAACACTGTAAAGTTATTTATTTAAATATTGAATAAAATGACGCAAAATACTGCATTACTCAGATACTGGAAAAAACGACGTAAAACACTGTAAGGTTATTCATGGAGATATTAAATAAAATGACGCAAAATACTGTAAGGTTTTAAAATATTGAATAAAATGACGCAAAATACTGTATATTTTGTTTAGATTTCGACCTAAAATGTCGCGAAGAGCTGTAAAGTTATTTAGATATTAACCGAAATAACACTCGTTTAGTACTAAAATATTGACCGACAATGACGCAAGGCATTGTATAAGCATGGCGATAATGACCACAAACGACCATTGATAAACAAGTTCTTTATCTGTTATTTGAATCAAAATCTCATGTAAGAAAGTCATTTTCTGAGAGAATAGGCAATAATTTATTACCTCATCTTCACAAAAATGTTTTAATAGCTGCCTACTCATTCCATTTTCAAGTTATAAAAGCCGTTACGGAGAAAAGTTAATGCATTCTGTAATTCGGCTGTGTAACAATAGGACAAACATAACGAGGTTGAAATTCCATTGGGGCTCATTGTCTCTGGTAAATTATCTCATTAAGGTAATGTCTTTAGATAATATGCAAATGACTTCTACGAAAACTTGAAATATCTGCCTTCAGTGCTCAATTCTAAAAAATTATTCACAGAGCTTGGTTAAAAAAACAAAACTGTCACATTTTTTAAATGTGTGTTCGAGCCATCGAGATGCTACTGGCGCCATTGGCAATGTGAAAGAGGTGTCGCAAATGTGTCATTTGAAAAAGGTCGAGCTAACAATGGAATGACGTTATTGTAATAATTCAATTCCAATTTTTCGCTCATGAAACAGTAATATTAACAGTTTTACGGAAAAGAACATTAAAAACTTATTCATCGTCATATTTTAGCACCATTTTGGGAGAACCTCAGTTATAATACGGCAACATTTGACGAAGAGCGTTTGTCTATACAGACGCCCATAAGTAATAGCCCTGTCTCAAACGTGGGATTATACTACATGTTTTTAATTCATACTGGGGGTTTCGCTTGTGTCATGTATTTTACCGCGGAAGCCCGCTGTGGCCAACTCCGATTGTTTACCTAATATGAGCAGAAACAGAAATATCAAATAAAACCAAACTTGTAAAACCGGGCAGCACTATTTGAGCCGCTTCACGACAAAACCAACATAATGTACATTAACGGTACAATTTAAAAATTAATTTTACTTTCCTTAAAAACGAAACAAAATAAATAGTTTTTAAAATTTACGACATGAATAATAATATAGACAAACTTAGAGAATCATATTCAATTATTTTTCAATGCAATAGTAATAATGGTAATAGAAAATATCAAGGGGATTGCCCGGGAGCAAGGAAAAACAAATGGTCGAAAGAGATTCTGGCAAAAAATTCACAAATTGATAACAATTATGCTGTGAAATGTATGACCACGCTAAATCAATGTTGTTGTTTTTTTGGTGTTTTTAAGCGTATCAAGAAGTACCGTTTCAAAGTATGTTCTTTGCAACCATCCTTTGAACCGTACATGTAAATTTGGATGAAATCTTCAGCTTTTCTTTGAATTTTGAAAAATGTACTTTAATAATTCAGGAGGATTGGATAACATTTTTTTTTAAAGTGGACAGGCTACTATTGTAATTCAACGAAAAAACGTTTTCTAAGACGTTTAAAAGCACAATTATATTTGTGGGTCTATTTTAAGGTTTTCTAAACTATCTTTTACTCGAAGGCCTATAATGGTTTAATTCCCTCTGATATTTTAGAAATAATTTGTTGTATATATAATTTGGTTTAAAACTTACTTTTCTAGCTGGATTTTTACCATTTCCTGAAGCGAAGATTTCTTTTCGACGTACATAAATGGATTCTCCTCTGGCTTCACCAGAAAGACTTTCTACTATTGCGCCTAATGATAAACGAAGGTCTTGGTGATGTATAGTAACAAGAATTTGTAAAAACTTTTTCCTTATCAATCCGTAAACTTTATAACCATATACATGTATATCTTTGATCGGATGAGACTTCTATATGAATTTAATAAAGTATTTGATGACTTTGATCCCCAGTCCGTATACTAGATAAAAATTATTCGGTGTATTCATGGAAAATGTATATTGTGCAAGCTATCGTCAGCTCCCCCACTAGCACCGACTTAACGAAAATTATCGATCTGTAATGTTTTAAATCTAACGATCGGTCGATCTTGCACTCGAAATATTGAGACTTATTGTCGCCCTTACAGTCTTTTAATAATTAAGGACTTAGATGGTCGAGTCGATGTGATTGCTTGTTTACTTTCTAACTATGTACATCTTTTACAATCCTTTGCCGTTTCCTTAGGAAAGATAAACTTATACATGAACAACATCACTTTTATTTGTAAGTAAAGGCCTGCGGCCCAAAATACAGCGAATATAATTTATCATGCATATAAGGATGTGCCATGTTATAATACATTTCATGTTTCATAATGGCATAAACAAAGCAAACGATTTTATTTTATCATATTAAAGCTATCTAGTATTTTGATTATTAAAACACAATATATTATGAAATAGTAAAATTGTTGCATGGATTGTATTTCTATTCTGTAACAAACACAGTGCATTTGCATATAAATCAAATATATTTACTTAATGAGGTAATTCTCTACAGCAGACGACAAACCTCTTAGGAATTTCAGCCTCGTTATGGTTGTCCTAGAATTATACACCTAATTACAGCTTGCATTTCTTCTCCTCGGTAACGACTTTACTTAATTACAATTTACATCTTGAAAACACGTACAGTGCTTCTCAAAAGAAGAAGGAACTAGTGGGCGGCTATACTTATAAGTTTTCGTCAAGATTACAAGATTAGGTAATAAATTATTGCCATTTCTTTGAACAAATTTCTACAGTGATGCATGGGATTGTGAGTCGAATCAGAGGTGAATCAGCCATTATGGAGATGAAGCCAATTCTTCGTAGTTTTCCCAGTCTTCAGTTTTGTATAATTATACATTTCATAAATTGCATCTCCTTTTAAAGGCTGAAAAAGAAACTCTTATAGCAACCGTGTAATCTCTTCGTCTGAACCACGTAATTTCAACCAATTCGTCATATGTCTTCTAACCGGCTGGTCCATTACACAAAAGAGAATAAAGTTCCAAAAAGCTTGGCCGCTTGCTCCGTAACTTTGCATCACCAGTAAAAACTCCAAAAATGTTTTCATCGATTGACTGCGTAACACATCATTATTAGCATATGTTGTGATGAAGAATCGAGTTAATCCCCATAATTTTAATAAGTAAATAACCATCCACACAAATACAAAGTTTTCATCTTCATTACGTAGTGTGTGCATGACAGACGCCAGTTGTCTGCTTCTATTATGTAGCCTCTGAAATAACGACAAAATAAATTTCTAATACATTAATGAGCCGTGTCTAGACAAAACCAACATAATGGGTTTGCGACCAGCATGGATCCAGACCAGCCTGCGTATCCGCGCAGTCTGATCAGGATCCATGCTGTTCGCTTACAAACCCTATTACAAGTAGAGAAACTGATAGCGAACAGCATGGATCCTGATCAGACTGCGCGGATGCGCAGGCTGGTCTGGATCTATGCTGGTCGCAAACGCACTATGTTGGTTTTGTCGTGACGCGGCTGAGAATTTTGTTGTCGGTGACAAGAGCTTCTTTTTGACCAAGATTTGTAAAAATTGTTGTCTAATACTAGTATACTAAATTAATTAGATTTGCAACTGATATAAAAACATACTTTCTGGCATTTTTGTTAATTCAACTTCAAACATGTGTAGGAAGTATCCACAGAACTATAATGAACTATAACTATAATTACGCCTTTTACATATTTAGCAGATAGACTCTGACGAAGAATTAATAAAGCAGGCTCGATTTTCATAAATTTTATAACTCTGAAATATGTAATGTAGATTTGTTTTGTATCGGTACGCCAGCACGCACCAGCAAGAAGGAGAAATACTCACCAAGTAAAATTTCAGATGTATATACAGAAAGCATGCCGTTAAATAGCAAGCTATCTGCCAGCCTACGTCAGCTATATACATCCATTTCTCTATTTCATGGGGAGCTAAATCACTTTTAATCCCGCACCAAACCCCGGTACCGAAACAGAAATCTTCACCTAAGTATTCCTTATTCAACAATATTACAACAATGATCACTGAAAGAAAACATAATCTTCTGTTAGGAGAAACGCAATAAACAAAAATTATGGAGAGCAAAAGCACTTGAGAAATTTCCTTTGAGCATTTATTTCCTACAACGGTTTTGATGTGGGTTTGCAAAGACTTCCTAGTTTAAAGCGCAAAACATATTACATAAATTGTACATATAACTTAACGAACACGTTCATTATTATATCAGGAACACAAGAAAACACCACTGATTTGAAATAACTTGCATACTTGTATTTATTTGTATAAATCTTAAACTTTCAACATGTCGAAAGATACATTTCTAACTTTATCTTATAAGTCAATATAATTATTGAAATAGTATGTTAATTTTGATACTTGCATGGAATTATCCAGCATATCACGTGGTACAGCGCGTGGAGGTAATACACTTCCGTTTGCCTCGTTCTGATTATTACAGAAGACCATAAATGTATGGCAATGACGGCCGTCCATAGAAATGAGGAAAGATTCGAAAACGTTGTTAAAAAGCTTTGCGCAATACAGAAGTCCTCATATTTTGTAGGTGCATGAGCGGTGCAGTTTTCTGAGACTGTCTCTTCACCATCATGAGCGTATGCGTATCGTATGACGGCACTCAAATTGCCTATCGCTGTAAACAAGTCGGCGATTGTGAGATAAACAAGCAATTTCCTAGTAAAATATCCCCGTATCTTCTTTACTGTTAGAAAGGTCACTATAATGAGAATTCCTCCTATTATAGATAGACAGCTACTCGTACCGGTTAGAACCAAGTTATATGTTGCTAATTTCACCGAAGTATCCGCCATTTTTAAATCTGTTAAATATAGTAGTATGCACTTGTGGAAACTTTTTTGACCATAGCTTTACATCCGTTAATGCAAGTAGAATAAGTAATGATTATTTCTTATCACTTATTAGTATTTGTTATCATTTTATCGTTTATGATAATTACTCACTGTAATGTGATTGTAAGCTAGAGCGGTTTGTTTTATATAATGACCTCATTAAAATCAGGAAGTACATTTACAAACAGAAATATTTCAGAATTTTATCGTTATAATCTGACATCATTTTCCAGATAATCAAAAATTATTAGTTAAACAATCTGATACGCTATTCTCTTGATAAGATAAATGGTGAAAATCATCTAATTTTGACTTTATCACTTACGAACATGATAACCGATGAAACTTAATTAACATTTCATGTGACATAAAATTCACTAAGTTCTGGTAAGGAAAAGAGAAAAAAAGGTTTAACGTATAAAAATGAAAGTTAGCAAATATAACGAGGCATAATTACATGTATATCTATTGTGAGTTGGAGACCTTCCCGGATTGGTCAGTTTAAGCAAAGACATAAATAGATACATATTGTGCTTCTGAATCGAAAGTGATTAAAATAAGCTGGAAAAACTTGTTTCACAATCGAGTTTAATCAAATAGATCTATATGTCGGAACTAAGTGTCCATTCAATATTTCTGTAATGAAAATGTGAAATGTCTCGTGTTAGAATGGTCAAAGAATGTTTCGGTCTCCGATTTTCTTAATGTACCCTTTCTTAAATCAAATACGTGACAATACTTTAATAATTTATTGTTAACATTTTTTTTTATATTTTAGACAAAGAACACGTGCAATAAGTTTCTTAGTCAAACACGTGATAGCGTAACTATGGATACGATCGTGACTGGTACCCCGTATTTTAGCCCTCAGGATGAAAGCGGCGGGTCCAGTGTTAGCATTGTTTTACTACAAATCCATGAATCCACAGTACTCCCAACTCAAATTATGAACTTACTAAATAAATTACTAATTAAATCTATGAAAGAATTGCACAATGAACAATATAAAAATTAAACAGTTGTTTTTATACCATGCAGTAGTTTCTAACTGTATCAGATGAACTCACATTCAGATCGTTAAAGTTTCTGACAGTTTTCTGGTTTGGGTCAATTGCCCGTGGAATGCATTCACCATAAGAATTGAAAAAATGTATCTTTTGTCTAGAGAAAGTGGTGACATGTGTGTGTTCTTAATCAGCTCAAGCGCACAACTATCTCGTGGCCACGAGTTACTAAGTCGTGGGCACGAGATAGTAAAGTCGTGGGCACCAGATACTATGTCGTGGCCACGAGTTACTAAGTCGTGGCTACGATATAATTAAGTCGTGGGCACGAGATACTATGTCATGGCCACGAGTTACTAACGAACGCTTATCTATCCCATGCCCACGACTTAGTAACTCGTGGCCATGACATGGTATCTCGTTCCAACGACTTAACTATCTCGTGCCCACGACTCAGTAACTCGTGCCCACGAAATAGTATCTCGTGCGAACGAGATAAATAAATTCACACACACATACATGTCACCTTTGTGTCACCGTAGAAAATCGCCCGGGTTGGTAAAATATAAATGCCTGTCTTTAACACGGAGCTTGCTCGATGAAGGAAGATGACACATTTTATATACATTGCACATAACGTCCAAACTTTGTTTATACTAAGGAGATGATCTGCTGGTGTTCTTGCTTAATGCCGGGGAGGATACTCTAAAGAGAGCATCGAGACGACGGAGAAGGCTTCTGTGGTGTTTGAATCTATCATCTCGGCCACTTAAATGGCGACACTAGTGCAGTCTCTCAAGAACAGCTTTTGTAAGGGTTACTGCTTTGGCCATTTTATATTAAAACACAGTACAGCGATGCTCTTTCGGCTTCGAAATTATTTTATTTGGCTAATATTAGATGGAAAATGCATGAAGATCTAGACTGTCATCATCTTAAAGTGTGTGACATATGTATGTCCTGCGTTTGAACTCCTATGTCCGAAAGAACGGGTGGACTTTATTTTACGCATCCCTCTGAAAATACGTATACGTATATACTTTATACTTTGTACAACAAGTATTTCGACTGGCCGCCTGTGCAAAGGAAGTATATTATGTTATCCATAAAAATCCATTATAAATGATATAATGTATGTTTTTTCGTTCCAAAATCATCGACACTATAAATAGCACGTCAGCATGCAATACGTGTCGGGGTCTTCTTTTTAAAGGATCCTGGTTTGCGTGTAATAGCAATTAAGTCATCACTTTATGACACGCAATAATATTAAATCCGCAATCGACATCGTTATTCTAAAATTGAAGGAGTCATAATTAAGATAATTATATAGGAGTCATAAGTAATGGTACTTTCTTTGAAATTTGAAATTGCCTCCGATACTGTATGTTTTTTAGACTGATTTTAGGCTTAGGACTACCAAACTGCGGCACACGAGTCCGAAATTCAAATGCTTGAACCTGTCCAATTATTGAAATAAATGCAGCTTCTGTAGATGATTGATGTACCTTTTCTCGTGCATAAACACGAGGACGCACTGAAAGCCCGATCGAGGCACCAAGACGAGGGATTTTATAAGTCCTACCGCATTAACAGATATTAATGCACGAAAAATGTGCATTAGCGTTATCCTTGCATTTATAAAAATACCACGTATATTAAGGCATCGGCAGATGCAACGTGTCAGACGGCAAGTTCGCTTGGGTTACGTATAAGGCGGCACACTTAGTCTGCGTGAGCCCCTAACAGAGAGTGACGGCTAGGAAGTAACAGCCTTTTTCAGGGCTACCTTTTTCATATTGTCTGGTTACTGTACAATTCGGTTCTCACACGGATTTATATTATATTTTGGCTCACAATATTCATATATTTTGTTAAAGCTCCGTGGAAATTGCTTGCAAAATTAACCTTTAAAGGACATGGTCGACATATAATAGTGACTTGTCCGTGACTTTGTACCGGAAAGGATACCGTACAATTTATACATGTATATAATATGATACTAAATACCGTCAACCCAGCTCATTTGTTCTGCCAATAATGGTGAAAATATCATAAGATAATCTCCCGGCCGTTGATCATAAAGAACGAAATTACATGTACTGTCAAGAAATTCACCAACAACCTTGCCACCTCGCTTGCTACGCGCCTGTTCGGCGTTTTCTAAATATAGTAACAAAACTTAATTCTAAAAATAGAACGAAATGTTAGTTGGATATCATCTGTTAATATCCCAAGATTGTCTATAGATCCGAGATAAGGAATACAGACTGTCAAGAAATGAAAATTTATTGAAAACATGAAAAGAGTAGTTATTTTCAAAAATGGACGTTTTGTTGACGGCAAGGTAGAATTTAATCACAGTTTTAATTTATTAGTGTTATTTTTAAACTATTATTTTCATGCTGCATTAAAGACATAAAAAATTAAAGAGTTTATATTCAATTTTCAGTGTTTATTTTTCAGTGTCTGCAAGCCTGAGTGTTTGTATTGTCTGTAAGTTGTGGTTAGCTTATAATTGGACCCATACAAATTTCTTTTATTGTCATGCAAGTAAATACTACTGTTATAAACAGAAAGTTTCTTTTCTTGACTGTGCAAATTATCTCTGTGAGTGTCTGAGTCAGAAAGACTTAGACTAAGAGAGGGTGGGGAGATTTGAAAATTGAATTCAGGCAGCATACTGTAAGCAGTTGTCAAAATATAATGACATACCAAAGCTAGATTCTGAGATGTTTTTGTTGTGGGTCAGAATCTCGCTTCTTCTATACAGGGGAGATATTGCCCATAAACAAAATAGGCCCTTTGCATGTTATTGTTATGAAATCTATTAATAGTAACAAATTGCTGATAAGAGATACAGGTAACTTTCGGATGGTTGGCAAAAAAATGGTGGCTGATAAAATGCAAAATATAGTAATTTTATATTTATAATAAAAAACTTATTTTTCATGAAACAGCTTAGTATTTTATATCATTAGAAAGGTCGTTTTACTCATATTTTATATATTAAAAAATAAATTAACAAAGCGTTTTCATTTTTTCTTGGTAAGGAGTTAAACTTGGTGCTAGAAAACTATTGAAATAACAGTTGAAAAATAGCTGAGCTTTATTTTTTAAAAGCAAAAAATGAAAATCCGCTTATATTTTAAAAATATGAATACAAAGAACTTTTAAATGATATAAGAATCTAAAAAATCGATCCACAAATAAAAAAGTTATAAGAATTTAAAAATTCTGCTGCTATATAATGTTTATAAATATTGGTTCTTCTTGCCAACCGGTAAATCTGCTAAATTCTGGTAGCAGGTGCTTGTGATGTCATTGTGCAATGGGTCTATATCACAATATCTCAGTGCGTTACCGTAGTACAATTAGTGGACCATTATTTGGAGCTTTAGTAGATCAAATAATATTATAGACATATTTATGTTTGGCAAGCCTAATGCTAGAGTGAGAATGAGCCGTTCGGCGCACAAAAATTATAGAGATGTGCAATGGAATCTTGTACTATAGAATAAACTCCCTAGCTACATTGCAATTAACTTACACATGAACTACACTATATTTCTCAACTTTTAATGTCAGTTCAAATGGGCAGTACTATTGTTGCAGTACATGTATAAGTCTTGCTCACAATATTTTAACTATATATTTGACCCTTTATTTTCTTTCCCTATGAACATTTTAACCATGACCAGAATTCATTTTCAGTCTCACCTTCTTGGCATGTTGATGTCTTGACTATTTTGCTTTTATTTCACCTTTTAATACTAACAATCTGACGCACCTTAGACTGTTTAATCGATTTTCTTTTCTGAATTCTTGTATAACATTTATTATGACTAAATCGCTGATTGATTGAGACATATATAAATGTTGATATTTATCATATTGTTGTATTTTGTTAGGTTATATCCGTGACACATAGCTCTTCCATGGAAGATGTTTTATCCGATGCTAGCAAGAAATTGGGCTTTGTCGGAAAGAAGATATACACTCCTCAAGGGGGACTTATAGATGAAGTATCACTTCTAAGGTACAGTGATATTTGATTATATAATAAATCTAAAGTTAAGCCAACATGTTCCTACTACCTACACTGGACAGTATCATTTAAAGATATGGTAGGATATGTGCCCATTAGTCTTCATCATTATTCTGAGTAATTAATTTAAAAAAAAAAAATAATATATAGTACACAAGTATTTTAATGCTGTTCTGTTTTGAGATACACTTATCTTTAAGTGTTACAGTCATACAGGGATTTCCAATTTTTCTTTTGAAGTGTGATTACAGATGTTGCTCATCATTTTGTTTAACTCATCAACTGACTGTAACTAAGGGCAACCAATCTGTCTTAAACAAAACTGACTCAAAGTGTTGTGTATACACTTGATTTTTCAAGTTAAGAAAAGAAAGTCTTCATTGGCTCATGTTTCACTTCACCAGAGATCATTATGTAGAAAACAATAAGCTTGTCTTTTTAATGTTTTGTTACATATTGTGATTTTTTATGACAAGTAATATAAAATTATTGTTTTATTTAGGGACGACGATGTGGTTTATGTCTCGGGAGGCGAAGCTTTTAAAGGTATGTATTTATTTATTTTATTACCTCCCTTTAAAGTTTAACCATTGTTACCTCCCTTTAACCTTTGTTTCCTATGAAATTATGAGAAAGACCTGCCCTGCCGTACATGTACTTTGAAATTAAAACTTTCCTCTATTTATGTAACAAACATTTCTGCACTTTAATAGATGAACTGTTAACAATATAGAATCAGGCCTCAGGTTTTTCCAGGATCACTAACTATTCATCATCTTGCATAAGTCTGTTCACATCATCTTTCAATTTGGTATGAATGTTTGTTTCATGAAGCATCAGAATTGAGCATTAGACATTATTGAGCCTGGTCAGACTGCATTTATATTCAGACTGTCTTAACTATGAACTGGTACAATAGTTTCGTTATTTTGACCCCTAGCACTGAAAGGGTTAGAAAAAAATCATTGCAAAGGAGTGCTCTCTAAGTTGATATATTAATCAACTGACTTATGTGTTCTTATACATTAATTGAACAATTTAAAATAATGTCTATGAATTTTAAAAGGTTAATAGAAAGTATAAAACCATTGAGACATCTGTGTAAGACCACTGAAACTTCTGCATAAGACCACTGATAATTCTGTGTAAGACCATTGAGACTTCTATGTAAAGACCTTTGAGAATTCTTGTGTAAGCCCAATGAGAATTCTGTTTAAGACCACTGAAACTTCTTTGTAAGACCACTGAAATTTCTGCATAAGACCACCAAGACTTCTGTGTAAGAACATTGTGACTTCTGTGTAAAGACCACTCAGAATTCTGTGTAAGCCCAATGAGAATTCTATGTAGGATCACTAAGACTTCTGTGTAAGACCACTGAGACCTCTGTGTAAGAACATTGTGACATTCAGACCACTGAAAATTCTGTGTAAGAAAATTGAGCATTCTGTTTAAGACCACTGATACTTTTGTGTAAGACCATTGAGACTTCTGTGAAGGACTACTGAAACTTCTTCAAGAACATTGTGACTTCTGTGTAAAGGTCACTGAAAATTCTGTGTAAGATCTCTGAGAATTCTTTGTAAGCCCAATGAGAATTCTATGTAAGACTACTGAAACTTCTGAGTAAGAGAAATAAGACTTCTGTGTAAGACCACATATACTTCTGTGTAAGACCACTGAGATTTCTGTGTAAGATTACTGAAAATTCTGTGTAAGACCACTGAGATTTATTTCCTAGTCTTCTTGTTAATTTGTTGTTTCATATATTGCAGCCCCTCCATGCAATCATTCCTGTCCAGCTGACCCACACAGTGCACCATGTAAAGTGTCACAGTGTAGTTCTGGTGAGTGGGTCACACTGAATGTTGGTGGAACGTTATTCTCTACAACCAGGTTTGTTTATTTCATGTACTATTAGTTAGTCTTCATTAGTTTGATGATACTAGCAAAAACCAAAAAAAACATCTTGACTGCAGATTCATGCTGATTTTTTTTTACTTAAATAAAAGAAATTTCTAAATGAATTTGTTCAGTAATAGTGGATCAAAGGAATTTTTTTTACATACACTGTATATTTAAAAAACAACTTTATTTCATGATTTTAAAGATTGACATGTAAAAAGATGTAATTTTTCATGCATTTACATCAGCAGAAAATTGAGACTCCATACAATGGGCGTAAAAACAAAAAAAGTCTAAAAATTGGGATTGAAAAAATTATATATATGGCTTGAAGTACAGTAAAAAAAAGTATTTTATGTATCCCTTATGTATTGTTTTATTGTAGAAGTACTCTGACACAGCAACACCCTGACAGTATGCTGTCTGCAATGTTTTCTAATAGTCCAGGTATATTACTATACAATTATTGTCTTTATGCTCCAAAAATCTTGTTTTTTGTTTTGTGTTGGTTGTTAGTCTGATCTTTCATCAGTTCTTTCTTCTGTGTTTTCAGTGTTTTGTTACTCAATGTCTAATTGACCCTATCATTTATTAACTAATATCTTGGATATTTGGTATGTTTGTATCTGTTGTGGTTGGTAGGTTATATAATTGTCTATGTTGGTAAAACATTTGGTTTATGCGTAACTTAGTTTAGTTTGATCGTTTAGGAAGCTATAAGCTTATCAACATACCATAGAAGCTATTCCTGGTACCAACCAGTTCTAAGCAATGTTTGTAAAGTTTCTGGCTCAAGGAAATAGCAACTTGCCCCTGATAGGGTTTGAACCCATGTGGCTAGCGATCCTAAGATATCTATTGCGATGTGTTAATAACTTAGCTATTCTGCCACTCTGTACCTTTTTAGTCAACTATTTATATATCATGTGATCAACACATGTTTTAAAACAATAATGTGTATACCAAAATATTCAATTTTTGTGCCCCCACGTTAGTGCCGGGCATTTAGATTTACCCTTGTCCGTCCGTCCGTCCTTCCGTCCGTCCGTTCACTTTTGTGTCGCAGGTAACTCAAAATGTATTTGACCTAGAGTCATGAAAGTTTACAGGAATGTTGATCAGCATGTGTAGTTGTGCACCTGGGTATTTTCGTCTGGATATTTTTAGTATTTTCAGAGTTATTGCCCTTGACTTAGTAAAATTTTGCAATTTTCAACTTGTGTCGCATGTAACTCAAAAAGTATTTGACCTAGAGTCATGAAACTTTACAGGAATGTTGATCAGCATGTGTAGTTGTGCACCTGGGTATTTTCGTCTGGATATTTTTAGTATTTTCAGAGTTATTGCCCTTGACTTAGTAAAATTTGCCAATTTTCAACATGTGTCGCACGTAACTCAAAAAGTATTTGACCTAGAGTCATGTAACTTTACAGGAATATTGATCAGCATGTGCAGTTGTGCACCAGGTATTTTTGTCTGGATTTATTTAGTATTTTTAGAGTTATTGCCCTTCACTTAGAAAATTTTTGCCATTTTCAACTTCTCAAAAAGGATTTGACATAGTCATTAAACCTTATGGGCAGGTTGCTCAGCATATTTTAGATTTGCACCTGGGGTTTCGCTTGTGGATTTATCCAGTATTTGTAGAGTTATTTCCCTTGACTTAGTAAAAAGATTGACAGAACAGTGGCGCGGTGGGGGCACCCGTGTCCTATGGACACATTTCTAGTTTTTATTTTCTTGTAGAAGAATCTTGGTGTAGTTCAGTAGACGAGACTGGGGCTTACCTCATTGACAGAAGTGCACGATATTTTGAACCAATTTTGAATTATTTACGGCATGGTCAGCTGATATTGGACAAACATATTAGTGCCGAAGGTAGGTAGCAAATATATGTCCCCGTTTATTGATTCACACTTGTAAAATGAAAGTTATAGTATGAGTTGATAGTATGAAGAAATGAAATATGCAGAATCCTTTTTGATAGCAATTGATATGAGCCGGGTCACGACAAAACCAACATAATGCGTTTGCGACCAGCATGGATCCAGACCAGCCTGCGCATCCGCGCAGTCTGATCAGGATCCATGCTGTTCGCTTACAAAACCTATAACCAGTAGAGAAACTGATAGCGAACAGCATGGATCCTGATCAGACTGCACGGATGCGCAGGCTGGTCTGGATCCATGCTGGTCGCAAACCCATTATGTTGGATTTGTCGTGGCGCGGCTCATATGTTTTTGGATTAATTTGCTTATCATCAAAGTAACTGTATTGTGAAAGAATTTAATTCATTTTCATGATGTCTGAGTTGCCATTTCATAATGATGATAATTTCAACATGGCCCAGGCACACTTGATAAAGATATCTTAGAATTCATTTAAAATAAATATCGGGGCAAATCTAGGAAGTTGATTCAGATAAAACTTTTCCCATTTTGCTCTCCTGATAGATTAAAGAGAAATCAACTCTGCCAAATAGATAGAGAGTCCAAATCAATGTTTACTTGGCAATGTCATATAGAGAGTAGGCACATGTATCAGCCCATTTGATGACTGCTAAATGTCATTGACAAATCAGAGCATCACTTTATACTATGCTCCTACATGTATAGTGATAATCAGCCTACACTAAACATCAAATAATTACTTCATCAGTTTGAGACGGTAATAATTTTGCGAAATTTTAACAGGGATTTACTGGTAATTTTGCATTGTCTATGTCAGATAGACCTGGTCTTTTTAAAATGACGACTTATGTTAGATTATAGATAAATGAGAAAATTTGCAGATCGTGCTTGAATTATATGGCTATTATTGTTTCAGGTGTGTTGGAGGAGGCTAAATTCTTTGGCTTGACATCTTTGATAGAGACACTAGAGGCAACTATTGAGGTAAGTTTTACCTTAAAGTGACATTACACTCATGTTTTCATCATCAAGTTGAGCTGTATTGACCATATATATTGGAAAAAATTGACTGTTATAACACTGATTGACCGACAGTTTATTTTGGAAAAATGTTTAGGTTGAAATACAAATTTGTTCTAAAAATTTTATAAATTAAACGTTATAGGTAAATTCCGAATGATATTAACAGGCACTTTGTTGGGCTGGAGAGTTATTTATCAATCGTGTGAAGAAAATGATAAAATAGACAGGAATTATGGCAAAATATAAACTTACTGGATTTTCACCAGTTAACTATATAACCTTGGACGGGCATAATGGCACTTTAAACTGCCATAACCATTGCTGTTGAGTGGGAGAAATAATTTTTTTAACTTGCTGGAACAAAAAGTGATTAGCTTTTGCCACCCTTTTATTGGTGATGTGGAATGCAAAAGATCATTTTGTTCTAATAATTGTTTGATAAGTGAAATGAAACTTTATCCCCACTCTCCACCTTATATACCCCACCCTCTCAAAAAAAGAAACAAATTGAAAAAAAAAAGAAAAAAAAAAGAAATTGATTTGAAAAATTTAAAACTAATTTGATAATTGAAGTAGCAGTAAAAACAATCATACCTTATATTACAGAGTGAGCTGCCAGCAGAAGACCACACACCAATAAATCGTAGAGAGTTTGTGATGAAGTTGTTAGTTACATCCACAGATAAAGAACTAAGATGTCAGGTAAATACTACATTATACATATATTCTACTTTAAAGAAATACCTATACATATATTCTACTTAAAAGAAATACCTATACATATATTCTACTTTAAAGAAATACCTATACATAAATTTTACTTTAAAGAAATACCTATACATATATTTTACTTTAAAGAAATACCTATACATATATTTTACTTTAAAGAAATACCTATACATATATTTTACTTTAAAGAAATACCTATACATATATTCTACTTTAAAGAAATACCTATACATATATTCTACTTTAAAGAAATACCTATACATATATTCTACTTTAAAGAAATACCTATACATATATTTTACTTTAAAGAAATACCTATACATATATTCTACTTTAAAGAAATACCTATACATATATTCTACTTTAAAGAAATACCTATACATATATACTACTTTATACAAAAACAGTTGAACTTTGGTAAGTCAAAGTTGACAGGACTTGCTTAAAAACTTTGAAACATTGGGACTTAGACTCAAGACTTCAAGCCAGTGACTTAAAAAAAGTGTAACAAAGTGAAAGGGCAGTAACCAGCTTAAAGTATATATATCCTATGAGTTTAAGTCTCTGAAGATACAAAATGAAACTAATTTGTAATGTTAAAGCTCAAAATACAACTATGGCAATTACAATGTAATACATACAAAGGCTGTTTAAACACACAGCTGTGTAATTATAACACCTTCATACAATTGATCGGCAATCATCAGTGCAGCTAGAAAATTTATTAAAAATATTTCGGGATTGAAGTTGTCAAATTATTTGAAGGACATTGACTTATTTATGGTAAAATTTTCTCTAAATATTGTTTACAGACCATGTAAAAACTCAGACACACCAAAATATTATTGACACTTAAAACTTTGACTTATATGTAGGTTTTAATAAAGAATATATAGGACAAAAACTCAGTATTTTAATTTTACTTTGACACTGTCACATTAAGGAAGTTGACTAATCAAAGTTCAACACATAGATGTTCTGTTGTAGTATCTTACATTAGATGTTATTCTAAGAAGACTTATATTAACCTTATCTAGCAAAAGCATCCTATGTTAATTTAAGTTTTTTAATAGTTTTTAGGACAAATATAATGCATCTCATCATTGATAAAATGACTTTACATGTAAAAAAAAGAACCACTTGCCTTTCATTGCTAATGGTTTGATTCCCATCAAGGATTTTGGATACTATCATGTGAGGGAGATTAATCCAGCCAGCTTGGAAGTATGTAGGTGGTTCTGTCACAAGCCTCTGTAATAATGCATGGACAGGTACTAAAGGTCTTCCTCCACCAGTTAAGCTAGTCATATCATCTTTAAAAGTGTTGGTGTGAAATAGGAAAATATATGACAGAATTAAACCAATTAAGATTCTAGTTACGGCAGTTTAAGGAGGCCAAGCTTGTATCTTTTGGCTGTCACTTTTATAGGTAGTTTGACAACAGGGCTGACCATGAAAATGTTGTTAAAATCCATGTAAAAATCAGGAAAAACATGATCAAGGCATCTGAGATGCCTAAAATTTTAAGTGGTTTTGGGTACTTATTGTGGCAAATCAGAAGGGGAAGTAACAATTTATTAATTTCACTACTTTGCCAGATTTAATTATGTCCCTTTTCCTTTATTCTACCATATGAAATGTATTTTTTCCTATAATTTCAGGGAATGAATTTTGCTGGAGCAAACCTCTCCAAATTAGATTTGAGAGGGATTAATTTCAAGTATGCTATACTGAAGAATGCAAATTTGAGTGGTGCAAATTTGTCCTATTGTAATTTTGAGAGATCTGATTTGTCAAGGGCGGTGTTAGATGTAAGTAAAGTTATAATTGTGGTTTCTTACTGTCTCAATTTCTAGTTGCTTTTAGACGAATATATAATTTTCAAAATGTGTTAATACATGTGTTAATATTTTGTTTTTTTTAGTGGTAGTTTACACACAGGGATTTCACTTTGAAATGGTAGAACAATTTAAGATTGTGAATCCTGCAGAAAAATATCCATACAATAATATAAGTATTGCACTTGCACCAAGTATATTTTCATATCCCTCATTATGCACTGAACTGAGGTAGAATCACATTTTGGGGCATCCATGGCCAAGTGGTTAAGGTCATTGACTTCAAACCACCTGCCCCTCACCGCTGTGGGTTTGAATCACAAAGGGACTTTGGATTATTTCATGTGAGGAAGCTATCCAGCTAGCTTACGGAACATCGGTGAATCTACTCAGGTGCCCGTTAGTGCCTGAAATAATGCACGGAAGGGCACCTCAGGGTGGTCTTCCTCCACAAGTTAGGCTGGATCATCGTCATATGACCTATACTGTGTCGATGTGACATAAAACCCAAACAAACAAATAAACAGAATTACATTTAGACAGTTGTACAGTTCATGAATCGTTGTGGCATAGATCTATTAATCACTGTTATCATCATAAAGCCCTGTGTTGTATTTCTAGTGACTGTAAGTGTGAATTTCAAGCACTCACTATGTGCTTTTTCTAGAAAATTAATGTGATGCACAAAGTGACATGGTGAGCTTTTGTGATCCGGCATCCATTGTCTGTCTGTCTTCCGTCCTTAAACTATTACTTTAAATGACATCTCTCCATAATCCGCTTATGCTATGTTCTAACTGCCGATCAGATCAATTTGATCGTCCCGATCACATTAATTCCCCGATGAAGCCCGAAAAAGCTGGATTAAATGCACATTCACGACTCCTACTCGATCGCTTCGCGAATTTTTTTTGACATGTCAAAAAACTTTGGGTAGGAAGCCTAAGCCATGCCAACCAAGGTAGACTGCTCCGACCACCCCCAATCACTCATGCAGACACAGCTAGACTAGTACCCGATCGCTTGATCGTGTTGATCTGATTGGCGGTGAGAACACAGCATTAGCCAAATTCATCCAAACTTCACAGGAATGTACCTTTGGTGGTCAACTTTAAAAATTGTTCAAATAATTTAATTTTATGCAGAACTCTGGTTGCCATGGCAACTGAAAGAAAAAACTTAAAAAATCAAAAGAGCTAGAGCTTATACCCTGGTCACATATTCACGGAATACGCCCACGGAAGTGCAACGGATTAATTCATCCGTCAGTCAGTATCAGGGCATCCTCAGTAGCTACCCGTACTGGTCAGTAGCTCTCCGCATTGTAACCGTAATAAATCGTAGTAGTCCTTGTATATCTGTAGCTATCCTTGACAATTTTTGCACAAAAATTTGCTACGGAAAAATCAACCGTAGCTTATCCCTACTAGTCCGTATTAATCCGTACCGATAGGTACTGGTCCGTATGAAAACCGTAATAGTTCGTACTGATTCGTAGTCCACCAACTTGTCAAGGATTGCCACCGTTTGGTACGGGGAACTACGTATTTGTACGGTTACCCTACATATAAGCTATGGTTTTAATACGGATTAAAACGGCATTCTCATGGAAAGCCACGATCGTAATACGTTGTACTACGGAGAGGCAAGGATAATCACGGTCTTATACGGTTAATTGCTTTGCCACACGAAACGGTACGGAATGGTACGGCCCACCACTGTTTAGCACGGATGAATTAAGTATCAGGTACTTTTTCAAGGGTATAAATACTACCTCTCCGCCAAAATCATTGAACCCTGCAATTCGTTTTCTATGTGTTCTTTGCTTTTGAGGCATTTTGAAAATGAGCAAGCCAGAGATTGTGGATAGATGTATTAGGTCCGTATAGATCCGTGGCAATTCGTTCTTCTCCGTATCAATACGTTCTTCTCCGTATCAGACCATACTTATTCGTACTAACCCATGCTTATACCGTAGTAGACCGTAGTGTGTACGTAGTGCGTCCGTCCTGATTCGTGTCGCTCTGTATCAAACCGTGATGGTCCATAACAATCCGTGTCTCTCCGGCGGCTTTTGGTGGTAAATCCGTCGGACTCCATACTCATACCGTTGTGTGTCCGTACCGGAACCGTAGCGGACTACGGACTTTCACATTTCCGTAGTAATCCGTGGAAGATTAGCTTTTCCGTGGCATTATCCGTGAATATGTGACCGGGGCATTAGATATTTGGCATGAGACATCCTCTAGTCAGTGTCTACCAAGTTTGTTCTAATAAATTCCTAGGGTCAAAATTGGCCCCGCCCTGGGGGGTCATATATATTTCTTAAATGTGTATAGTAAAATCTTAAAAAAACTTCTTTTTAAAAAACCCAAAGAGCTAGAGTTTAGATACTTAGCATGAAATATCTTCTTGTATGTGTCTACCAAGTTTGTTAAAATAAAAGTCCTGGGGTCACAATTGGCCCGCCCTTGTGTGGGGTCATTGTTTGCCCTATATGTGTATAGTAAAAACTTAAAAAATTTTCTAATGGGTGTCTACCAAGTTTGTTCAAATAAAAGGCCTTGGGGTGAAACTGGCCCAGCCCCAGGGACCTATATACAGGTGAGCGATTTCAGGACCATCATGACCCTCTTTTTTTAATCTAATGGTAATCCTGGTACAAGCAAACTTTTACCGTTACAGATTCACGGTGCACTACCATGCACAATAAGTAAGTCAGCCTGTTACGCTTATTTTCAAAGCTGTTACTTTAAAAGCTTGTTTGTACCTCCAGGTTAATAAGCTGGGAAAAACCAAAATATTCCTAATTCCGGAGTATGCTTTGGAACAATCACTATTGTAAAGTTCTGGTTATTACTGTAGTGAAGTGTGTTTCTAGTTATCACTGTGCCATTCTATAACTATCTAATTTGCAGTTCTAGAAATCATAGTTTCCTTCTATTTTGGATTAAAGGGGGGTAATCCAATAAAGCACTTTTATTAACTGCATTGATTCATGCTTATGTGAAGAGTTACCTCCCCTTTTCATCGGTGAGCTATTTTAAGAATTATCAAGGTGTCTTATTTAACATATTATTGTAGGAAACCATGTTAGTAATACAACTAATTGTTAACAACAGTAATAGATACAAAGAGATTTTATTACACCTTGACATGTTTGATAGTCATTAAGTTGACCTGCGGAAAGGGTTAAGCGTTACTTTCAGGTGTTAGTTGTTAGTTATTTGTTCCGGTTTTTTTTTGTGTTAATAAGAATTACCATATGAGGTCATTGTCTCAGAGCAAAGTGAGAGTTTCCATTAATTAGCTTCAGACATGTCCTGGAGATTTATAATTAGATACCTGAATAAAGTCAGATTTCATATTAGGAGGCGGGGTGTTATAAGGACACGATGAATAATGGTTTATACACGATTTTCTCTAATATCTGTTGTAAACGTGATATTAATCTGTAATGACTTAACACTATATGTCATACTGATGGCTTTTTATTATCTATAAAGTAATTTTTTCTAGTTCACCATGTAGTAAACAGCACGTTTTTATATGACAGAAATGTGCGGCTTAAATTTTAGCCACTGCATGATTTTTGGATACATGTTTTGCTAGAATTTCAGTCTTTACATGATTTTAAAGTTATGATTGAAAGTAATGAGAGTTATTGATCTGGAGTGAGACTAAAAAAAGTGTTAAAGCATCCATATTCTGGTATATATCGGACAAGGCTCTTGAATTATTTTATAATAAGTACTTAAATCTCGCCTTTTTCATAGGCCCAGAATGAACTTGAAAACGTCTTAATTCATCTCCTTCACACTGATTTATATACGATAATGAATGAAAAATGTAAGAATCAGTGAAAAAAGTGATCTGCTCCAACACAGTAGTGAGTTAAATCCAATGTTCTGTAGGTTTTTTTTAGTCACATTACTGAGTGAATCTATGAAGACATATGCAACATTGAAATCACAATTATAAACTACTATTAAATGGGAAAGATCAGTACCATCAGTGAAAAATTACCACTTGAAATTCTTAAGCATGTTTCAGTGAAAATAAGTGATTGACTACATGTGTACATCTATCACCAATTGGCCACCTTTAAAGTTTGATCAAGTAATAGTAATAGATAGACAAAAGAGGAGAATTAAAAGCATTGACGGAAATGCTAATCTTGTTCTGTTCAGTTCCTACCACTCTTTGGATTAAATTAGTTCCTGGTATAGTCAGCAGGCATCAGGTTTGTAAAAACAAGCTTTCCTTCCCCCCCCCCCCCCCCCGCAAAAAAAAAAGAGCTAACCGGACACCTTTTTCATATTGTTTAAAGAAAACCTTTTTATTAAGTATGATTCATGTAAATTATTGTTGATAGCATTAAGAAGGTAAAATATTGGAAGAATCACAAGGCTATATAACAATGATTGGTAGAATACAAAGATAAATGAATTATACTTTACCATGGGTCTCTTGATTGTTTTAAATATTTTCTTTTATGGACACCATGAATTGTTTCATGTGATAGACCAATATATTTTCTTTATTGGACACTTCAGCATCCAGTATGAATCTTTTCATGTGAGATTCAAATATATTTCTATTATTGGACACCTCAGCATCCAATATGAATTGTTTCATGTGAGAGTCCAATATATTTCCATTATTTGACACCTCAGCATCCAATATGAATTGTTTCATGTGAGAGTCCAATATATTTCCTTTATTGGACACCTCAGTATCCAGTATGAATTGTTTCATATGAGAGTCCAATATATTTCCATTATTGGACACCTCAGCATCCAATATGAATCTTTTCATGTGAGAGTCAAATATATTTCCTTTATTGGACACCTCAGCATCCAATATAAATCATTTCATGTGAGAGTCCAATATATTTTCTTTACTGGACACTACAGCATCCAATATATTCTGTATTAGCCTAAGAGCTGAGGACTGTTTAATTAAGGTTTTTTTTTCTCCAAATCTGAAATTTAAACTACAGCAAGTATTAAACGAGAGCAAGTATAAAGTCTCTTCTTCGCAAAAATCCCAATTTTACAAATTTTTCTCTTGGTTTTTTGTTTGTTTGTTTCATTTTACGCCTTTTCCCAACAGTATTTCAGTGATATAGGCGGGTAGTTTCCTAACCATCGTTCCTGGAGAGTTACACCACAAAAACTATTATTAAATGGCCCTCAGCTCTTAGATTGTTAAATAGTAAGTTTAGTGCCTATGACCCATATAACTATGCTACTGTTTGTATTTTGTAATTTCAGTCTGCAAATCTACTAGGTGTTAAAATGCTATGTGCCAATATGGAAGGGACATCATTAAAGGGATGTAACTTTGAGGATCCAGCGGGAACCAGAGCAAATATGGAAGGTATGCCCTTAAAAAAAGAAAGATTTTTTCTCTCATTTTTCAACTTTCGCTATAGAGCATTCATTCATTTAATCAAGATATCTTACATATTTGAAATTGAAATTATTTGTCTACATTGGCCCATTTGTTCTATGTTGAAAGTTATGTAGTGAAGATCATTGTGGAATAAAACTGTTTAATAGCTTGGTTTTTCAAAGAAAAGAAAGTGCTGCTGTCCTAATCAAATCAATAGAGTGTGTTGGTGTCAGCAGGGCAAGTTGTTGAAGTTTGTCCGGTAATATTGTTTTTGCCTTCGCCTTCTGTCCGTCCGGTTGTCCGTCTGTTGTCCCGACGTCAGCATTAAGCTTGTCCGTCCTTTACAGGTCAAACTACTGATGGGATTTCAATCAAACTTTACAGGAGTGATCAGTACTATCCGTTGATGTGCACATCACTGGCCTGTTCTGCTTCGCTGCACAAAATGGCCGCCAGAGCTAAAAATAGAAAAATCTTCTCAGCCCTTCACAGGTCAAACTACTGGTGGGATTTCAACCAAACTGTACAGGAGTGATCAGTACCATCCCTAGTTGTGCATATCACAGGCACGTTCTGCTTCGCTGCACAAAATGGCCACCAGAGCTAAAAATAGAAAAATCTTGACCAGCCTTCACAGGTCAAGCATCTTGTGGGATTTCAATGAAACTTTTCATAAGTGACCATACATAGTTTTTGGAGACATATGTTTTTGTGACAAAAACCCTTCTAGTTAAACAACTGAAGATATCAATTGAATCTTCATTCAAGTGTTCAAGCCAATGTCAAAGGCTAATTTATGATACACTGATTCATAATCAATGCAATTCATAGTCCATTTTATAAATTTTATGCTGTTATCAAATAAAACTCTTGTGTTTGCCAGGTGCACTAATGAAAAGTGTGAATCTGGAGGGAAGCCACATGGCAGGTGTAAATTTAAGGGTGGCAAATCTGAAGAATGCAAATCTACAAAACTGTGATCTGAGGGGAGCAGTGCTAGCTGGAGCAGACCTTGAGGTAATGTGACGTTTAAATTATCCAATCATTATTTTATGACGTCCTTGACTTTACCTCATTGCTAAGGTCAGTATTGAGAGCAATCCAGATGTTGCTAGTATGTTCTTCAAGCAAGATTGATTGAAGTCATCAGAGGTGACAATATATAATGAAGGTGATACAATATCAATTTTATTATACTGAATGTAATGTAGCAGGAACAGTATAAAGAAAAATCTATGGCTTATTTCAAGTTTAATTTTGTAGCTTGACTATTTGAAGAATAGGGTGAACTATGTAACTTGCCCCAACATTGGCATCACTGTCACACTTTGGTTAAGTCGTTGCATGCAAGTTGGTATCTCCAAAACTACTGAAGGGACTGGGTTGAAACTTCACACATTTGTTGACTGTAATTTTCTTACGTGATATGCACATGTCAGTTACCTTTTTACAGAGTTATGCCCTTTTTTTTTACTTAGAAGCACTGAGAATAGTGCAGTGCACTGTCTAATGTTTGATAAGCATCTATTCCATGCAGACCTGTAATTGCCCAAAGATAATGGTACAGTCGACATTGTATTAAGAGACCACTCAAGGGACTGCCAAAAAGTGGTCTCTTAATAAAGTGGTCTCTCAATAGAATTCTGGAAAATTCGAGACTTTTTTATTGTAAGTCATTGATATAATAACATCTTTTTATAAAAACAAACACTGTACAATATTATGTATGTATTTCAGTTTTATAATTACATTTATGCCATTTTTTTAAAAAAGTAATCAATATATGTTTGTTTTTTAGTAGAAATTTGTGTACAAATCTGATCTACGCTCATAATACTATCAACAGGTCATTTTGACCATGAAACAAAGCATATTGTCTTGCATATTTTTAATATGTTCATACACATTTCCTGCTAAACATACTTTTGAATCATCAGCCAGAGCTCCAGATAATTTTTTATACAATGAGTTTTAAACTTCTTGAATTTTTCAGCAATTAGTTTTCACACTACCCCGATTTCAAATTCAATAAGGTTTTTAGAGATCTAGGATTTTTTGTCTTTTTTTTGTCAAAGGGTCATATTTAATTGGGTACTACATGTATTTTATAAAGCATCAGATGAGCACCTACACCATCAGCTCGTTTCTGTAATGTTTAGTCCATTACGTTTCACGATTTTATTTCGACTACAAACGATGACATTTTCTATTTACTCAGACTCAATTCCATGCACGATTTCCTCATTCAATTTATCCGGTCTTATTAGTTGTCTGTCATTTTTTCGCTCGTTCGGATGTCATTTTCGAAAAGGGAGGTCACTCTGAGCACATGACATGACTGCAAATGCTGTGTTGTGATACGTTATTGCTCTGACAAAATATGTCACAATAAATATTACGATCGGAAAATCCGATTTTGAAACGATTGCAATTGTTATTCAATTATTTTTTAAACTACAATTATTTGTGACCAATGACCATGAAAAATATTTGTTTGTTTGCTTGTACACATCAAACCTACTCGCTGATTACACAGGTGAGAATGCCCGTAGGGACGATTGTTTGTCACGGCCGTTTAATAGATACTTTAACACTTAATTTTGTACATTTGGGCCAACATTTAGTGGCCGCTGGCCGCGATATAAAATCGTCGTTTAATGGAATTAAATTATATAGTAAAAATCATCGGGAGGGATTTTATGCGGCCGCTTAATAAAAAAGTCGCTTAATAAAGGTGGACGCAAGTACGATGCCGACTGTATTTAGGAATATTTAAGTCTAGAGTAGTTTTGTTATGCCTACTTGAGGGTAAAAATTGTCAAATAACGATTTAAATCAACGCAGAAACATATTGCACTCAGGCTTTTCATGCTCTTTTGTTTACCTTTCGTAACGAAAAACTTACTTTTTTATGTAAGTTAAGAAAAGTAACAGCCACAAGAGTATTATAATATATGTGTTATATATTTTTCTAGAACTGTGATTTGTCGGGCTGTGATTTACAAGAGGCGAACCTGCGCGGTGCTAACCTGAAAGATGCCGCATTTGAGTTAATGCTGAACCCGCTGCACATGGCACAAGCGGTGAGATGACTGAGGAGTTGTCTACAACTGGGTCAGGCCGAGAGAGCAATCTATAGTCTATGGTCTTTCAACTACTGCGGAATGAAATGACTACCTAGTGTATCGTTTAGTCCTCTTTTGTTATACCCCTCCCTTGGTTCATTCCTTCACCATCAACACATAGCTTTATATGATGTAATTTATACAGGGTATATATATACTGTTATATAAACAAGGGCTGAAAATTAACTCTTCATTATCCTAGGAACTACATCTCCAAGTCAGGAGATTTAGTTGCCCACTGAATCATATATATCATATGAACCGAGTAACAACATAACCAACGTAATGCATTTGTGACCAGCATGGATCCAGACCAGCCTGCACATCCATGCAGTCTGATCAGGATCCATGCTGTTTGCTATCAGTTTCTCTACTTGTTATAGAGTTGGTAAGCGAACAGCATGGATCCTGATCAGACTGCGCGGATGCGCAGGCTGGTCTGGATCCATGCTGGTCGCAAACCCACTATGTTGGTTTTGTCGTGACGCGGCTCATATATGTATTGCCCCTTACACTCTGGATTTGTATCTTCAAAGGGGCAATACAACAATATGATGTGACAAAGCTATCCAGCTAGCTTACAGTTACAGTCGAGTGTCGGCTTGCATATGATAAAATAATGCAAAAAAAAAAAGGGCAGTGAATGTCTACCTCCACCATTTAAGTAGAATAGTTGGTTGCCATATGGCCTTTATAATGACAGTGTTCATTAAAATAAAAAATCCCCAACCCCCAACTCACCCCTATTTATTTACTTTGTTTTACTTTAATTTACTAATTATAAGTTTATCTACTGATTGCAATTGTATATTTAATGCTCTGTGTTTATATGTATCAATAAAAACCATTTGAACATTTCCATATAATGTTTATGTGAAAGATCATTCTCAAAATAATGTTTTAAAAATTCCAATACTTACGAGACATTCCTATGAACTGTAATATTGAAAGTTTTTGCTTTCCTTTTTAACATGGTTCAATTGCAAAAAAAAAAATGCCTGTTTTCTAAAACTCGTGTTTAAAATTCCCATTTACTGTATTTTTTCCTAATTTGGCAATAGATGTAAATTATGTTTTCCCTAGATTGAACCTAATTTCACAACCCAGTAGGGCTACTGAAACCTTAACTTTTTCCAAAAAGGTTGACAAAAAATTACAAACTGATTAAATTAGATGTGTGAATAGAATAACTCAAGTTACTATCCTATTTTTCATAATTACAATGCTACATTCATAATTGTGTTTGCAGGAATGATATATAAAAAAGATGTATGAAATTTATTGAAGTTTGGAATGAATTTATCATGTGTGCAATTACTTATGAAATTGTATTATTTCAACAATTTTATTAAATTCAAATTTTTTCATGAAAAATTCAGTTTGTTAAGAAACATAGATATATATGTATATTACCCTTACCATAGACTTTAATCTCTAGGATTGGAAACTCCTTGTTTCCAACTTGATGATGAAAAAAAACCCCCGGCTACAACAAGAATTACCTCCCTTTACTGTAAACTGAAACTACTGATCATGTCAGGTGACTAGCTCGGAACAAGATCAGCTGGCTCATCCATGCTGTCTGTTCATGATCTTAAACTGTGTACTATTCAGTCAGTGCATTTTTTGAAATTTTCACCGGAAATAATGAATCTTCTTTAATCGTCCGAATTGAAATGTGAACAATTTCATTTAATATTTTAGTATGGTAAGGGTTAAAAATATGTGTGTTTTTTTTTTTAATTTTCATATGCAGTAAATCAAAAGTGTAATGTTTCTACAGACATTGACTCTGTCCATTTTCAAAATTTGGATGAAAGCAATATCCATTTTTTGGAAATATTCATCCCATTTTTATCATTGATGAAAATGCATTCTATTTATATATTGATATATATTTTGAGGTTTATTGATGTACAATAAATAAATACAGATATTATAAAGAGAATAGAATAAAGCAGCACACCTCCAGATGCTTATCATATGTCATAGAGAAATTAAACATGAAGAAAAAAAGGGAAAAGAATTACTACATATTTTTATCACAAATTGTTAAAAAACGTTCATCAAGAGCATAACCTCACTTATTTCAGTTTAAAGTCATCTTTTGTATTCTAATTCAATAAAAAATATTTATGCTCCCCAAAGTGTAAGCATATAGTCATCGCTTTGTTCGTCGGTCAGCTTTTCTTGTCCGGGACACAACTCTGGAAAAACCAAGAGGTATCACCATGAAACTTTGTTGGTAGAAAGATCATCATTGGGTAGATGTGCAGTGCACAAGGACCGTAATTTGTCTTGCCTAACTTTAGAATTATTGCACTTTGTCCAGGACATAACTTTGAAACTACAAGAGGTTTACTTTTCTATGTCCAAAACCTATTGGGAGGAGCATCACCCAGTTTAACTGGCTCTTGTTTATTAAGTTTATTCTAAAAAAAAATGTTTAACCATCAGGGGGTGAGCAGCTTTAATAAAATAATTATTACAATGTAAGATGAAGTAACTGAAAAATTATTGTAACTTCTACCCATTACTGTCACAAATTACTTTAGTCAGATATTTTTTCTTATTGTTGAATGTCAAAGGTTCAGCCCCTGACCTTGGTTGGACACCATTTTTATTTGTGTCCCAAAATCTCTTGTGCTGTAAGTTACACACAAAATTATTTTTAACATAAAAATAAGAACCATCTAAACCTTGCAGAGGGTGTTGATTCATGCGTAACCAGATGATATTTTTATATAAATATTGAGTGTTCTGATAACATTATATGGAACTATAGATATTTTTGTCCACAAGTCTTGAAAATTAGAATTGAATTACCTGAGCACAAAGTTTTGAAAAGAGAGCTTCTAAACTAACTATAATTTGTTACAAACTAGACGTTATACTTTGCAAGAATTTTGTAGTTTTAAGATTTTATGTTATAAATCAAATATGTCCGTAGCTAAGTAAGTTTTAATTTGTTTTCCACTGAATAAGTCTTCATTTTGTTCACAGCTAAAAATGTGCCCAATTTGTTCACAATTGAACAAGTCTCAATTTAATTACAGCCAAATAATGAAAAAAGTTTGTTCACAGCTAAAATTGCTTTTGATTTGACCACAGCTAAATAAGCATTGAATTTGATCACAGTTAAATTTGATCTTAATTTGATCACAGCTTAGAGAAGCACTGAGGTTGTTCACATCTAAACAAGTCTCAGTTTGTTCACAGTTAAATAAACACTGCATTTGATCACAGCTAAATTTGCTCATAATTTGATCACAGATAAATAAGCACTGAAACTGTTCACACTTAAGTTTGCTCATAATTTGATCACAGCTAAATAAATACTGAGTTTGATCACAGCTAAATTTGCTCATAATTGTTCACAGCTAAATAAGCAGTCTTTTTTTTTTAGCTTTATATGCTGTTACTTTGTTCAAAGTTTAATTAGCATTTAATTTTTATATTGCTAAATAAAAACCTAATTTGTTTATAGGTTGATATTTTCTCCCTTAAAGAGAAGAATCTTAGTGGAAAAACATACATATATGTACCAGATAACTGATTTGGTTATAAATATAGTCAAACTAGTCTTTTGAGACCAATAGTGCATGTTATATTCTGGTTTTTGTTTGATAGTTTTTCTTGTCTGGCAGGTTAAAATGTAGTAATGATTAAAGTTGTTAAAAAATAGATAAATGCATATTATTAGCAGATGGACTTTGTAAACAAATTGTCTTCGTTTGGGGTTTGCTGTAGCTTTTGATGTGAGAAAAATGCAGGAACACATTTATTTACATTATAAATACTGTTTGAGATAAGAAAGGGCATTAAATTAGTTTGTTGGCTTTGCAGTTTACAAAATACATTTGTTTGTCTTTGAATTTTAAGTAATGAGGCAAATTTGCAACTGTATTTATTTTGAATGTTTAAAACAATGTTTCTCTGTAAATTAACCCTTTCACTGCCATATGTACGGCTCAAGCCGTCCCTGTTTTTTTCGGCGTATTTGCCATATGGACGGCTTTCTATAATAATAATAGTAATAATGATAAATTAATAATAATAATAATAAAAATAATAATAAATATAATGAAAATTATACCATCGACTTATTATTATACTAACAATTTTGGAAACATATAAAATTATTATAATACTTATAACAAATAATAATAATTATATTAATTACTAATATAGTAATTTCTTAGAAAATCCTCTGGCAAATAGGTGAACAATAAAACAATAACCCTCTGGCAGCGAAAGGGTTAAAAAATGAACTGAATTGCTCACTGTTCTTAATATTGGGTACTCCTAAGATGGAGTTTTACTGTATTAAATGAATTCTGAAAATCTAAAAAATCACTTAAAGTGATTAGTCTTTCCCACCAGTGTTAGGTCTGGCTAGCCTTTATGTATGTGTGGTATGACAAAGCTCTGGAGTGTAGGCTGAATATTATCATTTTGATAACCTTAAACATTTGAGCCGTGTCATGACAAAACCAACATAGTGCGTTTGCGATCAGCATGGATCCAGACCAGCCTGTGTATCCGCGCAGTCTGATCAGCTTACCAACCCTATTACAAGTAGAGAAATTGATAGCGAACAGCATGGGTCCTGATCAGCCTGCCCTGATGCACAGGCTGGTCTGGATCCATGCTGGTCGCAAACCCATTATGTTGGTTTTGTCGTGACGCGGCTCATTTATATTGGACAGCTCAAATGCTGGTCGTTGTGGTTATTAAGTCTAAGGTTGCTATGGAAACACAGGAACAGGTCCATTTAGAAATTTTAATAATTAAACAAGATTCATATAATTAATTTATTTGCAAGGTCAGGAAGAATTTTGAAATTTACTGTAATATGTATGTTTTGTTTTCTCTGTCTCTTAAAGTATAGTTTGTCTTAGGTATATGAATATTGTGCCAAATATTTATGTGAATAAAGAATAAAAATATTGTAAAAAAATATTTGTTTTTCATCGGTTTCCTATTTATGTATGTATCTATATTTTCTTAATATTTGATGTGATGGAAAATAAGAAAGGAATTCTTCTTTGTAATGTGTACTATATGATAGCTGCTATTTGAAATGTTTTGAGACACCCAACTCAAAATCAATAACTTACTTCTGTTCTATACTTAGATTTGCATACATTTCATAAGGCTTTAGCTATTTTATGACAATTTTTGTGTCGCCTCTACGGAGTAGTGGCGACATATAGGGATCACTTCTCCGTCGTCTGTCTGTCCGTCTGTCTGTCCGTCCGTCCGTCACAAAACTTGTCCGGACTACTCCTCATAAACTACTGGTGCAATTTCATCCAAACTTTACAGGAATGATCAGTACCAAGTCTAGTTGTGCATATTGTCAGCATTTTCCGGTTCAATGATTTTTGTCAGAGTTATGGCCCTTTAATAATTTTTAATTTTAAAGTTTGTCCGGACTACTTCTCTTATACCACTAATGCAATTTCAATGAAACTTTACAGGATTGATCTGTAGCTCAAGTCCTTGCGCATATTGCACGGGTTTTCCGGTTGAATGATTTTTGGCTGAGTTATGGCCCTTTGATAAAAAGGTTTCTTTTTCTGTGTGTTGCCAGATACACAAAAGCTTGTCCGGACTACTCCTCATAAACTACTGGTGCAATTTCATCCAAACTTTACATGAATGATCAGTACCAAGTCTAGTTGTGCATATTGTCAGCATTTTCCGGTTCAATGATTTTTGTTTGAGTTATGGCCCTTTAATAATTTTTATTTTTAAAGTTTGTCCGGACTACTTCTCTTATACCACTAATGCAATTTCAATGAAACTTTACAGGATTGATATGTAGCTCAAGTCCTTGCGCATATTGCACGTGTTTTCCGGTTGAATGATTTTTGGCCGAGTTATGGCCCTTTGATAAAAAGGTGTTTTTTTTCTGTGTGTTGCCAGATACACAAAAGCTTGTCCGGACTACTCCTCATAAACTACTGGTGCAATTTTATCCAAACTTTACAGGAATGATCAGTACCAAGTCTAGTTGTGCACTGTCCGTCTGTCTGTCCGTCTGTCACAAAATTTGTCCCAACATGAAATTGGCCATCATGAGGCGACACATGTGATTACTGATCGCTCTTGTATTTGTATTCAAGTGTGTTACTAAAAGGTAGAAAATCGACATTACTTGCATTCGGTGAAGTTTTATTTCCTACAGTTCGATATAAATGAGAAGAAAAGTAAACAATGACAGGGTAATAATATAGTAATAAGCTATCTTAATCAACAAATCTTTGCCAGAACTAGATTGCAGTCTGTACATTTGTGCCCGAGTCGCCCGATTCACAGTTCAGCGCTCTATTGAGCGAAACAGACGGCTTATTATGCCCCCCCCTTCGAAGCGGGGGTTTATTGTTTTGCTAATGTTGGTCATTCTGTCGGTCTGTCTGTCTGTCGGTCTGTCTGTTGGTAGACCACATTGTTTCCGCTGATTATCTTGAAAACTATATATCACAAAGTCTTCACATAGTGATTGGTCATAACTAGTAGATGGCCCCTATTGATTTCTGGGTCACTAGGTCAAAGGTCAAGGTAACAGAGGCCTTAAAGGTCAAAATGGTTTTTCGCTGATTATCTTGAAAATTATTCATTACAAAGTTATCATATTTCACATAGTGATTGGTCAAAAATAGTAGATGATCCCTATTGATTTTGGGGTCATCAGGTCAAAGGTCAAGGTCACAGGGGCTTTGAATGTCAAAATGGTTTCCACTGATTATCTTGAAGAGTATTCATCACAAAGTCTTCATATTTCACATATTGATTGGTCACAGCTAATGAATGACCCCTAATGATTTTGGGGTCACTAGGTCAAAGGTTTAGATCACAGGGTCCTTAAATGTCAGAATGGTTTTCACTGATGATCTTGAAAAGTATTCATCACAAAGTCTGCATATTTCACATAATGATTGGTCATAACTAGTAGACGACCCCTTTTGATTTTGGGGTCAAAGGTCAAGGTCACATGGGCCTTAAATGTCAGAATGGTTTCTGCTGATTATCTTGAAAAGTATTGATCACAAAGTTGCCACATTACACATAGTGATTGGTCATAACTTTGTAGATGACCCCTATTGATTTTTAAGTCACTAGGTCAAAGGTCAAGGTCACAGGGGCTTAAATGTCTGAATGGTTTCCACTCATTTTCTTTAAAAATATTTATCACAAAATTCTTTAAATTTCACATATAGATTGATCATTTCTAGTAAATGACCACTTTTGATTTTCGGGTCATTAGGTCGAAGGTCAAGGTCACAGGGGGCTCATATGTCAGAATGGTTTCCGCTCATTATCTTGGTCACAATTAATCGCAAAATCTTCATATCTCACATAATGATTGGTCATAACTAGAAGATGACCCTTATTGGTTTTGGGGTTACTAGGTCAAAGGTCAAGACCACAGGGGCCTTGCATGTCTGAATGGTTTCCGCTGATTTATCATGAAAAGTATTCATTACAAAGTCTACATATTTCACATAGTGATTGGTCATTACTAGTAGATGACACCTATTGATTTTGGGTCACTAGATCAAAGGTCAAGGTCACAGAGGCCTTAAATGTCAGAATGGTTTCCGCTCATTATCTTTGTTACAATTCATCACAGTCTTACCGGAGGGGACTTTAGGTTTACCCTCCGTCCGTCTGTCCGTCTGTCATTCCGTCCGTCCGTCAGTCCGTCCATCCACAAAACTGGATCCCGCGATAACGCAAAAAGCACTGGAAATATTTTTATGAAACTTGATATATGGATAGATGGCAGTATGGAGATTATGTATGTTTTTTTCTTTTCTTCCTATGATGAAAATTCTGGTTGCTATGGCAACTAATAGACTGAAAATATGGCAAATTTTACACATAACCTGGATCCAGTGATAACGCAAAAAGTACTGAAAATATTTTTATGAAACTTGAAATATGGATAGATGGCAGACTAGAGATTATGCACATCCTTTTTCTTTCTTCCTATGTTGAAAATTCTGGTTACTATGGCAACAATTAGACTGAATTTCAAGATTTTTTATTCTAGTTTTTTACGTTTTTTCACTATAAGTTCTTTATTTCTTAAGTTTCTTATTATCACTCAACATTTGTGAGAAAGTTCAATACTCTAGCAAGACTATTTCCAGAAGTATGCCCCTTTTGAACTTAGACTTTTTTCGAGAAATTGGTAATTTTTACTCCAACTGCTTCAATCATTATAGGATTTTCTTCAAACTCCCACATCATAATAATATGACAAGGGTTATAAATCTAGCATCCATATTTCCAGAATTATCTTCTCCTTAAACTTTGAATTTTTCTTATTCATGATTTTCAAAATAAACATTCATTATCAACACCTTCATTACTAATTGTTCTTTGTTACACTCACATGTATGATGTCTTGCATCTTTATTTCAAGAGTTATCTCCTTTTTAAGAATTTTGCTTTTAAAAAGGTTATATTTTGATTACATGGGTGTTTAAAAAATAACTTTAGAGTGTCCTTCAGTCCGTCTGTCTGTCTGTACATAAAAACTGTTTCCTGTGATCACTTTTAAAGAACTTTTTCAACAAATTTACTTAAAATAGAAACATAAGTGAATGGCCAATGGCCCTTCAGAATGTTGCTGGGGTTTTTACCGGTAGGGGACTTATGGATTGCTTGCAATACTATGATAATTGCTTGTTGATTTTGGGGTCACTAGGCCAAAGGTCAAGGTCACAGAGGTCTCGAATTCTAATATGATTACCACTTATTATCTTGGTTACTATTTATCACAAAGTCTTTATATTTCACAAATTGATTGGTCATAACTAGTAGATGACCCCTAATGATTTTCGGGTCACCAGGTCAAAGGTCAAGGTCACAGGGTCTTTGAATGGTAGAGGATTTCAGCACATTATCTTGAAAGATTATTATCACAAAGTCTTCATATTTCACATAGTGATTGGTCATAACCAACAGATGATCCGTATTGCTTTTGGGGTCACTAGATCACAGGGGCCTTAAGTGTCAGAAAAGTTACGACTTATTATCTTGAAACGTCTTCATCACAAAGTCTTCATTGCTTATCTCGGCAAAACATCTCTTTTTTACATTTTGTATTTGTAAAGGTCTAAATCGATACACCTTGGGAAAAGTTGAGCAAATGTATAAATCAACCCAATGATTTCTATGGAAGATCAATATTGACATAATTTCAAAACAATGCATTTGTAAGCTGATACTTGAAACTTTTACAGCAGTTAATATTCTTGAAAACCACAATAATCAACTTTAACCATCGAATTATTATTGTTTTGTTAATATTTTTTTTCTTATTTTCTTAAAATATTGAACAAATGTGACTGGTTGATTAAGTTCTAACAGTGCTTCAATTTTATGGTGTATTTTCATGGTGTAAATTCAAAGCTGCATGTGTATTCCATGCTTAATAATGAGGGTCCATCCGGCCTTTCAGGCACTGAGAGTATGCACCCCGGACATGTCACCATTCATATCCTTTAAATGTTATTTTATACCAAAAGGTGACCTATAAATTTTGGATCCAATAATTCACTGAATTATACTTATTACGTATGCTTGTCGAATATGTTTGTGATGTTTACTTTCTTGATAAGACTTTTATATGAATCATGGATAAAAATAACGTATCATTTAAAACATTTTTTCTTCAACATTTTTTTTTCTTCAACATTTCCTACTTCAAACATTTAATAAAATTTCGGTGCAACTACTTGAATAAAACAAAAGTAAATACTTTATTTTGGTAATAAATATGGCGCGACGGCAGTTAATTGATAGCTGGAGTGTTATGGTTTAATTTATAGAGTAAGCCCAAAAAACTCATATAACTTATCTGTAGTAAAGGGAAGTGTGTTTTGTATGGTGACCGATTTGTGCCATGTTGTATTTTTGCCTCGAGGGGCGCCAGGAGAGACACAAAAATACGACAATGTAACTACTTTGTCGTATTTTTGCTTGGCGCTCCGTGGAGCGAAAATACGACATGTCATAAATCAGTCGCCATAGCTTTGTACTATATTTTGGAATATATTCAACGACCAATGTGGCTGTTTAAAGTCTTATATGATGTTACTTAATCTGTTATTAAAAGAGCCATCTACATAATATTGAAATGTGTGACGTTTTCTTTCAGACGTAGAACAAATTGCAACTGAAATATACAGCGTCAGACTAATTCACATCATAAATAAACCTTTTCTACAATATTTTCAGAAATTGGACTACAATGATGTATACACTGGTTTTTAATACTTATTTACAAAGACATATCCGTAAAAAAAGAAGAAAAAAGACCTACCCAGACTGTGACTGGCACCCTGACTGTGACTGGACTTCACATAACATATTAAAAGTGTGTAGAGATTACAGAATAGTGTTAAATGCCAGTATAGCCTAGTAATCTTTTACGATTACTTTTGAAACTCCCCTCATATAAATCTTCGGATCTAGATAGACGGCAATTAGTTTACAGTCTTGATTTCAGAAAACCATGCCTTCCCGAAATAAACACTTGCTTTGCTGGAGTTTTGTTGTTTTGTGCACATTATTTTTATTTTGTATGGAGACATCGATATATTTTCATCAAAGAAACAAAATAGAAAATTTCAAGATGACAACTAAAGGCGAGACTAGTGACCATGGTAACTGGACTATACTTATGAGCGTGAACAATGGATATTTTGATTTCTTTCAAAACTGGATGCATTTCTACAAGAAACTGGATTTAAAGCGTTCGCTTCGGGTAATTGCCGAAGATGACGAGGTATTTCTCAAACTTCAACAATTAAATACCAGCTCATTTTTTAATGTTGAGAGAAGCTGGAGGAATCCACCACGTTCAGTTGTTGTGTACGGAAGTAAAGGTTTCAGCGAACTCGCGTCAGGCCGACCATCATATATTCTGAAATACCTGCAGAAAGGGGAGAATTTGTTGTACGCTGATGCTGATTCTGTTTGGTTACGAGACCCATTTCCATTCTTCACCGGAGATTTTGACATGTGGATGCAAGTTGACAAAACCCCGAGTAACATGTGTACCGGACTGATAGCTGTTAAAAGCAACAATAAAACTATGCAACTTATGAAAACCTGGGAAACATCGCTTCAGAAACATCTTGAGATTGACCAGACAGCATTTAATAAAATTTACAAAACGTCAACTGTACACTTAAAACAATTGGATACGAAAAGGTTCCCTTCTGGGCAACTTTATTTTGAACGGTTCAACAAGAGTCTACAAGAGGAAGTTGTTATTGTGCATAACAATTTCATAATAGGCCACGAGCCGAAATTAAAACGTTTTGTGAAGCACAAATTATGGTTTACTTAACCCTTAGCCTCCTACTGCGCATGCGCTCAATGTGGACCAAGATTAGCCGACACAACGTCTAATAATGGTTAGCACTGTTCGCTATTCAATCAGAACTGAAACTTTAAAGGCCCATTATGTCTCAGAAATCCATATATATATTTTAATTCTTTAAAAGTACCAGAGATGTGTAAGTATTTTCACTTTCATAGAAAATACTAAATCATTATAATAATTATAACAATTCCCAACAGACCAAAAGAAGCAAAAAAGAAGCAAATGATTTTTTTATATTTTTGTAACTGTCACAAGATACCGAAAATAAAAAAAGATTTTGAGAAATGAAAATGATAGCATTTCTGAGGCATAATGGGCCTTTAAATGTTATTGTCCAGACTGATAGAGTCCGTGTTGGGTATTTAGCAAAGTCAATGTTTAGTATTTGACAACGCAGGGGACAACAAAACAGTTTGTATTTGTCAATTAAAATTTAATTTTACCATTCAGTTCTTTACAAATACGCGCACTTTTAGGCTTGTTTTGTACGTTATCTTGTTTGCCATGTAAATAAAAATAAAATATTTAGTAAGAAAAAAATGTCGCTGAAATTAAAATCCTGATTTAAAGCGGCATTTTCATACCTTTTTATGAAAGAAAAAAGTCTAGATAATTTCTGTCCTATTCCGTTGCAGTGTTCTCCAGTGTATTTGAGTAGTTTACAATATTTATTATTATTATTATTATTATTATTATTATTATTATTATTATTATTATTATTATTGTATTTTTAACTAACCATTAAATTTATATATAACTGACATAATTACAAATGTGACCTTTTGGTATTTTTGAAGTGCATTATTAGTACTTTCCTAATTTAAGCAGCACTCCGGATTTATTTTAATTTTTATTTTTATTTTCATGAAAAATAATAGGTTTACATTTTTTAAAGTAATCAAGGTAAATAAATTCTTATGCTATGTATATACAATACTGTACACAGAAATTACCACACGCTTGTGAAAATGTGCAAGCATTTCTTAGAACTTTAGTAGATAGATTGCAAAATAAAAAAATAATTTAAAGTGAGTATTTATGCAATTTGTTTCATTTAAAAATTGTTGACATGTTTATGTTATGTTTTTATGTTTGAATTTCAAAACGATTTTTGTACATCTGAAGGCATATTGCTTTAAAAGCATCTTGTCTCTTCAAAACATGACGTGTTTCATTTCGCACAGACGCTTGGATAGAGAACCCACCCTTATCATTGCATGCAAATGAAAATTAAATACACTTATCTCTTAGGAAGTTTGTTTGAAAGTTATCATATCATTGCAAAATAAGTTCATTGAAGACATATGACGGAGTCATAAAAATACAGAAACTGTAAGGTTGGGTTTACTATAAATGATTACTTAAACAGGTGCATATCAATGAGGGTACAATTATAAGGACCGAAGTTCGATCCCTTTCCCATTTCGAACTGGTATATTTACCCTTATTTCTGATAAAAGATCCCCCTCCAAGAAGGAATATGAGAAAATTTGGACAAAGAGGGACATTTTAGTTTGAAATATCTGCGGTTATGTATCACAATTTAACATTAAATGATATTAGGGATTTCTATTTGTGAAGATGTTACTAGTATGTTTATTTTTGTGAACATGATGTGAATTCTTTCGTGAAAGATATAGTATATCTATAATGGATGATTCAATTTTTTTCGTTAGTGTATGTTGTTGTTTTCTACCGTGAAAATTCATAAAAAAAACACAAATAAAATCATCATTATTTTTCAATGGAAACTACAGGCGTCTATTAAATCAATCGTCTGCGTTTAGGTTCTCTTATGAACCATAGCCAACATTTCGCTATAATGTTCTGTATGTAATATAAATTTCAACCTATAAGCATATCGGCTGTCAACATATGTTGCAGCATGACAAAAACTTCATCTCGTTTTCAATAATGATGTAGTTTGTAGGAAAGTTACTTCCATGATGTAACCTGATACCAACCCATTGTTGAAGAAAAGTTCTTATTTCTCAAACTGCCGTTATAGACCGACTTGATCAATACTAGACTTGATTATATCAATATTATGTTATAATACTTAATACTTTTGAACAAAAAGGATGGAAGTGAAAACATTAGAGTTACAATTAAATATTTACATAGGAAAGTGGCGTCGGGGAGGAATACACAAGGGGTGATTCATAAATTCGCGGAATTGCTTATTTTGAGCACATTGACGACAACGCTGGATCTACCGTAGCGTTCTATGAGTTTTCTCGATATAGTCACACAATATTTATATCTAGCTCGTATTTAGGAATACTTGGCAGTGTCTTCTGTAATTATCTAGCTTTTTTAATTAACATTTTGTTTAAAAGATCTGTCTACCCGGTCTTTGGCCACCAAACAGTGACGTTCTACCTTCGTTCATGCCATTTGTTGAATTTAAACTTTACTACGCATTAACCAACAGTGTTTGCTATGAATTCCATTTTTCTTTTCTTTTTTTTGTATTTAATATTTATCCATCCACCTGATAATGAAAGAAATTCATGTGCGTTTATGAAGATAAAAATATTCATGAACATCTCAACAGGCAAAAGTCATTATTTTTTGCCGTAACTGTAAATTGTACACTTTATTTTACAGATTAAAGTATACAATTTATAGAGCAATGTGTAAATTTTACTGTCCGAACTATAAATTTTACAGATTAATGTGTAAATTTTATATATGAATCAATAGAAAAAACAACATTTTTGTATTATCATAAATTATGCAAATAGCGCTGCTGTCAGAGAAATGTGATTCACAAAGAGTCTCCACCCATAAATACATTTATTCTGCAAATAATTATCAGGAGCGAGGCCCCTGTTCATTTGATTTTAAAGAACTAGGCGTTGTTTCCATTTCCTGGCTGCTATGATTTTCTGCCTGAAGTCGTTAATAAATTTGTTGATATTACAAAGTTTAGTAACTCATGTGACAAAATGCTGGTTCTACTAATTCAATGTCATTTTTAGTTCATTTTTGTAATTATCCTATCCCGGCGATATACTTAAGCATAAGTCTAATAAATGCACGATTCAAATTCTCCGAATCCACTCTAGAAATAAAAAATCTTAGACTTGCATAAACAAATTGTGAACCATGGTATATTGTCATTTTATATATTGTTGTTATATTTGAAATAGGGGAAAACACGGAATGCCTTTTTAGAACAAAATTGAAAATGATGCAAAAACAAAAAACACACACATAAAAAACAACAACAGCAAGCAAAAAACAGCAAACAAACAAAACAACAACAAAAAAAAGACAACAACAAAAAACAAAGACGGCCAGGTTTATATCGTTGTCTTAAGAGCAGGACATGTTCTGTTTTTAAAGGAATAAATAAGACAAGCGAAGAGTTTTCCCACTAAATTTTTTTGAAGATAAAAAATTTGCTTGGATATTAATTAAAAAGTTGTTACTGTATATCAGAAAGCGCAGAGACATTCAGATGGACACCTAAGCGACGTCATCAATGCTATCTTGAAGTTTTGTAAAATTGTTCGTTTAGATGATCCTCTGTTTTAAATCGGCAAGAATAAGACACTCTTGTATACCCTGGATACAAATTTAAACAGCAGTTCTACATGCAAAACCCTGGCGAAGGTTTTTGATATATCACAAAGTAAAGAGCGTGCTTCTTTTCTTTCATATAGAGCTTTGCTTACGTCTTTGTAAAGCATTGTTAGCTTAATTATTGTTAAATAAGTTCTGAAGTAGGACAGCATTTGTTTGAAATGACACAATTTCACCAATTTATACATCTTTCCATAACTTCTCCAGAAGAGTTATGGAGATATTCAAATGAGCAATTTAAACAAACATTGTTTGGAAGTGGTAGGCTGTTTGACCATCACTGTCTAGTTTCAAGGGGGAGAGAAATACTGAGGGTCAGAGACGTTTACTGAAATATCGTGCAAATGGTAATGTCAGCTTAAACAAGACTTGACTATTTAGGATAGAATGTTTTCTTATTTGTTTTGACTTCATTATTTATCCGAAGTACATCGTGTAGCTGAGATAAAATAACGTCATGAACACACTGGTCATGTATAAATAATAAAATTACTGTTATACATGTATGTATCAAGTTTGTTTTCCTTTGATATGTATGATCATGTCATGATGACGTGTTATTAGAGTATCACAAACCATTGTGTGTCTAAATATTACCAGTGTGTGTCTAAATATTATCTCAAGAAGTAAAAAAGCATGGTATAACTTGACAAAGACACCTGAGATGAGGACTAATTAGTGGTTTGTCAGTGACAGTACATATGAATACATATAATAATCTACAAAATACTTGTGCATAAATGTCATGCATTACTGCCTGTCCTTCTGCATTTTTGCAAGTTCATAAAAGTATTTAAATTTACATTACATGTTTGATAATCTTTTATTACTCCTTGAATAGTATGATCAATATTTTACACATAGCTACATATTTAACAAAGAGCAAATGATCGAACAACAAGTTCTAGCAACATTGTCCTTCCCTTAATCTTTAATCTTTGCATCACATAAACAAATACATGTTTAAACACTATACGTATGATAAAGAGCTATAACAAAATATAAAGGCTCATTAAGCCTCCGAAATAGTTTTATTTTTATTTCTTAAAAGCTTTTTATTTTAGGTGAACTGTTATAACCTCCAAAACGTTACTCAATAGCCAATAACATGACCCACCTTTTGCTTCTGTTGCTAGTGATTTTATATGGAAGTCAAAATTCCACTTCTTGTTCATATTTTGCTACGTTTGTTACAAATAATTACACAACATGGACAAAAGTTCTATTAACCGTCCAAAATGGATCTGACATTACTAACATTTAAAGCCACATTATGTCACATATATGATTATTTTTTCAACTTTAGAAAGAGCGAATATGAGCTTTAAAATGGTTTTAGAGATATTTTGATACTGATCATCTGAAGAAAGTAG